TTTCCATTGTCCACGCTTTGTCTGCTCATCCTGCACTAGAACAAAATCACCCTCTGAAATAGAGTTTGAATAAGTCTTGCTCAGCTTATGCTGTTCTCTTAAGTCAGCAAGATACTCTGATTTCCATCGATTCCAAAAATGGGCAAGCTTCTTCTGCAGAAATAAAAACCGTTTAATTAGTTTAGAATTATTAATTTCAGAGTTAGGAATGTCTAAAGACATTTGCAAGGCAAAAGGTGACAACCTATGTCCATACAATAAATGTGATGGGGTTAACACTTCCTCAGTTTCATATTGGTAAGTGAGTGGCCTGGAATTGAGAGTACATTCAATCTCAACAATAACTGTATGCAGCTCTTCAGAAGTTAGTCTTGCATTTCCTAAGACCTTTCTTAAACACCTTTTTACACTTTGTACCATCCGCTCGAACATACCCCCTGCCCAGGGGCACCTTGGGAGATTAAATCTCCATGAGATTCTTCTTGATCTCATAAAGTTAGTTACACTGTCACTCATAAAAAATTTTCTCAACAATGAGGCGGTAGCTTTAAAGTTCTTTGCATTGTCTGATACAACTAAAGTTGGTGTACCTCGCCTTGAAGTAAAACGCCTGAAAGAGTTTAAAAAAGTTAATGCATCTAGACTATGTACCAAATCCAAGTGAATGGCGCGTGTTACACAACATGTATACAAGACAATGTATACCTTCATGGTCTTGTTATTTGAAGTCTTGCAAAACAAAGGACCAGCAAAATCAACCCCAATTCTGCTAAAGGGTGGGGCCTCTGTAACCCTAAAGCTGGGCAATGGAGCAATTTGAGGTGCATTGAATGGCCTACCTTCCAACCTTTTACAGATAAAGCAATTTCTGATTACCCTTTTTACATACTGTCTACCTTTAGGGATCCAAAACCTTGTACGTAGCTCTGCAAGTGTAGACTTCTCTTTACAATGATGGACCCTTTCATGACAATCAGAAATGACAAAATCAGTAAATTTGTGCCCTTTGGGTAACAAAATAGGTTTCTTAGCTGTTTCAACTAAATCAGAAAATTCCATTCTCCCCTGGCATACCAAAAACTCCCCATTACTTACTACACCCAATTGTTCTTTATACTTGAGATACTCAGACTGTCCCATCAAATAAACTTGAGCATCCTTAATCCATTCTTTCTCAGCATTCTGAATATCTTCTGCATCCAAATTCTCTGTGATAACTACTGCCCCCTCTTTCTTTTTCTTTAAATTTGAAATAAATCTCTTTACAAAGGCAGTAACTCTAAGTAGTTTGCCCAAAGAACTATGTCTGTTAATATCAATAACTGAGCCAACTGTGTTAATAGATTCTACTGTGGATGTTAAAACAACCTGCCCTTTCATTTCCTCCTTTACTTCAATAGATTCTTCTACAGGAAGAGCCTGAGGCCAACTTTCTTTTCCTCCCTTTAGCCAATTAGGACCTCCCCACCATAAATTATTTCCAACAAGCTGACTCGGAGAGGCTCCCCTTGACCCTATGTCCGCTGGGTTTTCAAGCCCTACAACATGACCCCAGTCTTCCTTCCTAGATTGCGTAAGGATTTCGTTTACCCTGTGTTGCACAAAGGGCTTCCAATCACACTTATTTTGAATCCAATACAATACAGCGATACTGTCTGTCCAGTACTTAACCTCATCAATTTTGGTATCTGAACTTAGTGCCTTTTTAACAGTGTCAATTAGGTTAAACAGAATTCTAGCAGCCATCAGTTCTAACCTGGGGATTGTTAAACTTTTAAGGGGTGCTATCCTTGTCTTAGAACTAATGAGTTTAGAATAGATGCCTTCCGTTGTCTCACACACAAGATATACAGTAGCACAATATGCCTTCTTACTTGCATCACCAAACCCGTGCAAACTTGTCTTAAGGATTTTACCTTCTAAACCATCTAGCATACACCGTGGGGTTGTGATGACCTGTATGTCTTTGAGACCTTTCAACCACTTCTCCCATCTTAAAAGCTTGTCCTTAGGTAAAGGGTCATCCCATCCTAACTTTTCAAGACATAAATCCTGGAAAAGGACTTTGGCTGTCACTGTGACTGGGCTGATCAAACCTAAGGGATCAAATAAAGCAGCTATTCTACTCAATATATACCTCTTGGTAACCTGTCCTTCACCTTCTGCAACCTTGTCAAGATTAAATTCAAGTAAGTCTTGATCCTTATCCCATGCTAAACCTAAAACTTTAGTTTTAGAACTGTCTTCATTTCTGGCCAACTTAGTTCCTGTCTTACTTTCTATCTCATCTTCATTAATCTTATAAGCAAGTGACCTATCATTTGTTTTCCACTTTCTGAGCTTGAAACCACCTTCGCTCATTCTTTCCTTGGCTTTCATAAAGAGCGAAAAGGCTTCATTTACGTCAGTGTGTGTAGTTACAAGGTCATCTACAAAGAATCCCTTAGACATACATTCGCCAAATTTAGGGTCTATTTCCCTGTACCTATTTATGTGAAATTGGAGTACAGCATTTAACAAAAATGGTGACGAATTCACTCCAAAAACAACCCTGTTAAACCTGTAGGTGACAATTTCTGGATTCTCAGCATTAATATCCTTTATCCATAGAAAGCGTAGGACATCACGATCTATGGGATCTACCTCTATGTTCAAAAATGCCTTCTCAATGTCCCCTACTAAAACAATGGGTTTTTCACGGAATCTAATAAGCATGTCAAACATCAAAGGGGTAAGTGGGGGTCCCACATGAAGGCAATCATTCAACGAAACACCTGTTTTCCGATCAGAACATGAAGCATCATACACAATTCTAACTTTAGTAGTTTCTGCATCACTACGTATGACAGCACGATGTGGTAAATATGACACCTTAGAGCTTAAATTAGAGCCAGAAACCTGCTCAATTATACCTGCTTTCTCCTGTTCCTTTATGATGTTATGATACTCCTCTAAAACCTGTGGGGATTTTTCCAACTTCTTAACCTGACTCTTTAACCTAACAAATGCATTATTATAATTATCAGGCACAGGACCATGCCCTACTTTCCAAGGTAATCCAACAGAATACCGTGTACCTGTGAAAGATATATTGTCAATGACAGATTTATGCACTTCATCTTCAACACGAATGCCTAAGGTATCTAAATCCCAAAGTTTATGCATATTTTTATCAACATCAGAAGCATTCTTGTCAGGCAATGGAAAGGGATCAATAACATGGCAAACAGAATTGACAAAAGAAGAATGATCTGAATTCTTACCCTCTAACGGTCCAGAAATTACCCAACCAAGAGCTGTTTTTATGGCCACTGGCTGATTTTGCCCCCCTCTTATCACATGGCCATCTTGAAAACTCCACAAGTAGTTGGCACCGATCAAGACATCGATCTCAAGGTAGTCTTCATCTGAAAAATCTGAAAACTCAATATTCATCAAATGTGGATATGCATTATTAATAACATCGATATGGTAGTTAGCAACAGTGCTGATTTCATCAATCATAAAGGCTTCAATTAAAATGCTCTTACCACCACTCAATGAAACTAATGGGATACCATACACCTTTCTCATCGCAATTTCTGGCTCACTACTCCCAAATGTTTTGACTCCAAGCTTCTCCTCCCTCAGTGGCTTCAATTTCAGCCTAGCAACAGTCTTCTCAGTCACAAATGTTTTTTGGCTCCCAGAATCATACAGCACTCTCACTCTACTCCCCTCTTTTCCTTCTACTGCTGCTAGTGCTGTCTGCAAAGCCACTCTTTCCTTAGCTCCACTAGCACTTGTAGTGCCTAATCCTACCCAAGTAGATGCATTGGGATTAAGAGGTGGGGGCATGCTGCTGGGTTGGGCTTCCTTAACGGTGGGTTCCTTATCCTGGCAAAGCAAATAATGGTGTCTACCTTTACAATACCTACAACGAAACTTACTCTTACATTGAAAGGACCTGTGACCTTTATTAAGGCACAAAAAACACCTGGAAAATTTCATTAAAACACTTTTACGTTCTTCAGGGTGTACGTATCGCGTACAGTTCGCAGCTTCGTGCGATTCTAGACAGAACTGGCATTTATTACAATTGTCCTTTCCCATGAACAGCGCACTTGCTGTGCTGACTCTCTCCGTGTGATGTTGCGGCCTAGGCCGATCTCCGCGTTGTGGATTTGCTGAATATGAAATCCCTTTGAGCACTGGTACGTGGCTTTCTCTTATCTCCAGCTCCTTAGCAAACGCGTGTAACAAATCCCCTATACTCCACTCTAAATGATTGCTACCAAATCTAAACATGTTTAGCCGCACAGCCTCTGGAATCTTCTCCAACAAAACCGGAACAACAATGCTTGAATAGGAATCACGATCAACACCCAGAGCCTCGAGGCTGCGAAAATTGGTCTCGATATCATCGTGCAGCTGTCTCATTCTTGGGGTGTTCTTCTCGTTGAAAACAGGCGACAAGTTTAGCAACTCATTTATATGGGCTCTCTTTATCACCGTTGGCTTTGCAAAGCGACTTTTTAAAATGTCTATGGCAGAATCGTAATCCGCGTCCGTTAATGACAAGCCTCCAATGACTTTCCGCACTGGCTCCTCAAGATACGACTTCAAATATTTGAATTTGTCAACCTTCGCTAATGCGGGCGAATCATGAATTGCACTTTTGAAGGAGTCCCAGAACTCCTGCCAATCTTGAGCCCTTCCAGAAAATTTCTGCAGGCTAATTTTAGGCAATTTCACCCGGACATTGTAGCTGTTTAGAGCTTGAGCTGCGTGAGCTTCGCCAAACTTCGATCCGCTAGACAGTACACTTTCTTGAGAAACGCTTCGTTCTATCGACGTAGATCCTTTTGAACTGGAGCGGTCATCTAATGCTTTCTCCAAGCAAACCAATCTGAATAATACTTTCTCCATAATCTCGCTGGCACTTTCAGCTTCTTCATCGCACGTTTCATCATTTTCTTCGGCATCGTACAAACTTTCTAAAATATTCTCGTCGAGCTCTTTCAACTTGCCTTGCTTCTCCTTCAAATCGATCTCAAATTGTTTAAACTTTCTCAAATCTCCACCGTCTACATCCTCCAGGGCTTCGTCAATCTTTGTGAATAGTTTCGTTACCAATCCACGAATTGTGCGTCGTCTTTTCCGCATCCGACTCAAATCTTCAGCCTGTGCCATTCTTACGCGATCGAGCTCGGTGGACCACTATGAGGTGAATCCCACCCCATGCATTCTTTGATTCTTTATCACGTAATGAGAGAAAAACTCAATAAACAGGCTGGGTAAACCGTAAGATTATCAATCGATAAAACCGTGCATTCTTTCCTACATCAACTCAACAACCAACTACGATCAACAACAAATCCAACTGATTAACAACTTTGGATTAAGTAAATTACACCTAAACAACCAATCAGGAATAAGAATAATGTTAATGGGATTAGTCATATGGCAATTAGCTCAACACGTTTACACATTACCTCAGCAACGATTGTGTTGGCTGCGAAAACTAGAGAAACAGAACTGTAATTAAAGACACATAAACAATACCTTATATATTTACAAAATTTCTAAAGAAAACATGTGGGAAAATGCTGCGCAGTGGAAGGTTCTCCGACACTACTAACTAGGCTACAAAATCTTTTACATTATTTTAGCGTAAAATCGATTTTGATTGCAAATGACTTCATACTGCCTACTAACTTCACTTTCCAGATCTTTTAGGTAGTGTATCAGCTAATTTTTGAATGGTGTATTTTATAATATTCAGAATCAGAAAATATGTTACTATATTAGAAAATATTTGTTTAATTTTGTGCAAATTCAAATAGTTTATTTCTATTGCACCCTAAGGCATAGGGCTATTTTAATCAAATATTTTTAAGTTCCGAATAAGCATATCTGAACAAATGCATTTAGTTTTAATTTTAAAATATTTTGCTATATTTAATGCGTGACATGATATACGAGTCCAATTATTGAACAAATAAGTTAGTTATGAAATTCTATAAAAATAAATATTTTTCTGTCGTTTCTGAAATGGAATAATATTTAAACTCTATAAAGCTTATGACAATGTATAATGTATTTGTAAATATATTAAATTTTAGTTTTTGTAAATTATTATTATTCTTATTGTATATATTTTGTGCTTTGTATGTGTATTTAAGTCATTGTGTTTTTCAGATTGTGTAAAAATTTGTCGGTTATTAGATCAAATTTTATGTCTTTGCGCCGGGAAGACAAAACGTGTTTTTCCATAATATCATAAATTTGTAATTTCTTGCTTCTATACTGGCCAAAGTTACTTGAAATTGTAATTCGGGGGATAACAGGTCAATCGATCGGAAATCTGATAAATGTTTCAAGAAAGAATTATAGTGTGAACGTTCTAGGAATTTCAATTGTTGCTATAAAACATAATTCAGGAAGCTCAGAAAGAACTGTAGATAGTTCAAACACATCAGGACGATTACACTAAAAATTTCAACTTTCAAAAATATAGTAATGAAATGGATATTTAGGAAATAAACACTGTGAGTTCTTTGACAAGCCCTGGTGCCACACAAGGCAATTCTGACTGCTTATGTATATCTTTTATATGTGCCTCGTTAACCAATCAGACCAGGGGTGTAGTCCTAAGGGAGGCTCAGGGGGCTGGGTCCCATATGTTCATGCCGAGCCGTGACTAATTACTTTTGTTGCTGTTTATTTGCAAAATTTTGAGCAAGAGTCCCCTTGTTATTTTGAATTCACTTTAACGTATAACCTATTATCAAGATTTGATCTTGCTTTCATCAATCTCAGCAGCCATTACGAGGGCGCCCTTAATGAAAAATAGAAAGTCCGAAAGATCCTTTGCCTGTTTTGGTAATGTCCGCTAAGGTTCGGTAAGCCCTGAACATGTATTAAGAATCATTGGAAATCTCTATTAAGAATTTTTGCGATTCAGTAAAAGTGCAACCAAGATTTGGCAAAATGTTTTGGAGGATATGGGGTGTTTGGGATGCGCTGGATGCAAGAAGAGGGAATGTGGCATGCAATTCCAGTTATGTTGAATTCTGATATCTGTGACAACTATGCATATATATAAAATTCAAATGGACAGAAAATCAAATCGGTGTAGATCAGAACATTCCGTCCTAGGGCTGTCTTGCAAAAGCTCCACTACTCCCGTCGTTACTTAAAAATCTTATTGAGAAAATTCTTACTGTCAAGGCGACGATAACGATGGATTAATTTTGGATTCGATTTTAATAGACAAAAGCAAGGATTGCCAGAAAGCGATGCAATAAACTATGAAAATTGTATTTATTTCCGTTGTGGGCAGTAAAAAGCGCTTTGTCTGCGTATCAGCTTAAAAACCTACGTAATCGAATGTCTTTGTCCTTAATGGCTGATTTTTGAGTACGGTTTATGAAAGTACGTCAAATCAGCAGATTTTGCTGTCTGCGCAGCGCTTGCACTGTAAGCTGCATTAGAGGGTGTTGAATATGATGTCAAAGTACTGTTTGTGCCCTTTTTAAATCTTCCCCTTCTGTCGGAGCAGATGCCAAGAAAACATGGTCACTAGCAAAGAAGGTCAAATTCGAAGATCAAACACGATAACTTGGATTTGCATGCAAAGCTTTTCGTGAGCTTGTGTAGCAGGCAAAATTATTTGTTTACTCGCTGAACAAATCTTGGAGGCTTCAAGTGTTTTAGAAAACTTTAATGCAAAGCTGGGCCAACAAAACCAACTATGTTTACCCTAACCACTACACGTATGAATATTTAGCGCTGACAGCAATTAATGACCCTGCGTTAATTAAGGAAACACGGGGAAATTCCATACACCCACTTGTTAATATAAATAGTAATGTTTGAAGACATCTTCCTTATCAGCAACCAAAATTAGAAGAATAAGCAAATCCTCGAATAGAGTTTGAATAAAGAAGATTGCGCAACGAAATGACGTCAAAATGTAGACGGGTGCGAATGCTCAAAGAAAGACAAAACAGCTAATGAAATAATAAGAGCAATCAACCATGGTAGAAGAAAGACTATTTATTGAAGCTTGATTGCATTTGTTCTAGTATTTTTTTATGACGTATAGAGCATTTGGCACACTGCAATAACAGAGTCCAGTAAGATTCAAGTTGTGTGCTTGTTAAACTGAGTTAAGAAAAAGACAGTATGATTTGTTAGCTGTAAATGACGTAAGGGTGTTGTCAAGGTAAAAACCTTTGAGGGAAGTGCTACTCACTGCAACAAGATACATACTGCAATGCTACAATCAATGTCTGTCAACTCAAGAGACCATGGATGTAATTTGTTTGAATGAAAAACATAATAGAGAGAATGAAAACGGCTTCTAAGATAAAAGCTACCCTACCTGTACTATATCGCCCTGTATACGAGCATGTAAACAAATTGTATTGATTGAAATCGAAGTCAGCTATATACAGGATTCCGATTTACAGATGGAATCCTACCACAAAAAGTAGAGTTTTTTCAGAGGAATTTTCGGTCTGTTTGTGCTAGTCACGTCGCACAATATACTACATTCATTTGTGTCTCATAGAATCCCTATTGCAGTCAACAAGGGAACATAAGAAATTCTCAATGAATGGCATGGGTCCCAAACTCGATTCTTGAGACACACCATCTAGTATCTAAGCAAAAAATAGTCTTATAGGCAAGCTTTTTCTTGCCATCAAGTAATGCAAACAGTTTTCATTATCAAGTTTGCAAAATCAAAGCTTTATTGTAGGATCGCTGCACTGCTTTAAATTTTAATGAGCATCTAAGCATTAAATGATGAAACTTATATGAATTTTTTTCACTTTAATAGAAAAGACTTTTTAGTTGCAAAGATTCCTGGAAGTTTCTCGGAATTGGGAACCGTATACTTTTTAGGAAACCAAGTCAAAAGATTTTAATTTTCTTGCGCATCGCTCTGAACTGGAAGGCGTTTCTTTGGCAAAACAAGTTTTTCTGCGCATCGTTCTAAAGCATTTTAGCTGCAATAATAGTTATTCTGTTCCCCTCTACATGCTAAAAAGCGCTTTAGCGGCAATTGCAACTTCAATTCTGCTTACTCTCCAAGCTAACAAGCTTGGGGGAAACAGAAGTTATTTTATCAATCGTTCAAAACGAAAAAATGCGCTAACGGCAAGAGCAGTGTTTCTTCTCACCGCTCTAAACTGGCAGATGTTTAGCGGCAATGGATTTCCCTGTTTATTCAAAAATTAGCAAACAAGCAAATGGTGATGAGAACTGGAGGTTTTGCTGAAATCTTTTGCTGCCCTGGAAACGAGATTTCACAGCTACTCAAATTGAAAACGAACTTTTGACACGATTTTTGAACAACTATTTTTGAAATTTCGGACAAATAGATTTTCGGACAAATTTTGACCAATCTTTGGATGTTTAATTCAAAACAACAAACTGTTACATAGTTTATAAACCTAACTATAGCATTTTCTCCATATAGAGGGAGGCTTAGGTTCTGTAGATCCATTATGGCCTCAGGTCCGCTTCTGGCTGAAGTTATGATCAGTCATTTCTCAAAGGCATTGATACTGTTGATTCAGATAAGATGGAGAAAGAAGAAGAAGGTTGTGAGAGTGAATTTTTGATAGACCATGAGAAAGAACTGATGGTCCTATTAGCTTTGAAGAACGAATGTTTTCAGAAACATTTTCAGACACTCATGCTTTAAGATTTTCAGATTTTAAAATATGCAGACACTGATGGCTTTGCATCAGTCAGTATACATTGCGCTTGCGTGGCTCATTAAAAATATTCGACGTAACAAATTTTCGGATAATTCTAAAGAAATTTTCGAACAAAGATTGTCCAAAAGTTTGTCACACCGTAAATTTTTGTACTTAATGTATACACTTGTTTATACCTTGAATCTTTGCTGAGTCTCGATATTATCAAAAATCTAGGATTCTGATGGGATTCTGAGCTTCTCTTGCTCTTCATTTCCAAAACAATATGTGACTGGTGAGAGTCAAATACAGAATGGTTACTCAAAAATCTCATATATCGATAGAAAGTCATATTGTTGCTAAAGTTCAAGCTTTGCTTTTAGTTTTAAGTGGCTTACCAATATCGAGGATTGATATTGATATAGAACTTTCTCTTTGAATAAAGTTTATAGAAACAGAAGTCGCTTCAATAAACACTAGTTCAATCGAATGAACTTTGAAGAAATTTACAAGGACGGTGTCGAAAAACTAAAGTAGGGGGCATGGCTCGAGTTGACAGTAATATTTGACAACTTTTGAAATACTAGCCTTTAAAAAACGCATAAAAATACATCTCTGTGATTGGGTACTCGTTTATGCTATCGACACGTTGGCAGTGCTGCCGAGAGATTTTGGAGTTTTTGGTGCCTCCTGCGAGCGAGGCAAGCGGAAAATTTTCGTGGCGACTCTCTCTAGGTTAGCTTAAAATACATTTTCAAACAATTATTTTGTGGTACAGAAATCAAAAATGATATCTGAATATTTAATAATTTTCTGAATATGGCTTCTGAATGTGTGTTCTTTTTCACCGTATTCAAATTCAAAAACACAAGAATAGACGGGGAATATAAAGGAGGAAAAGAACTATAAATTTTGAAAACTTTTTGTTTAAATACTTTCACGGCGTACTTTGTAAGGTTTGACAAATTCAGTTCTTAAAATGGAATTCATTACTTTACGAGCCTTCCTAAACTTTGAGGCCCAAGAAGGGTAAAACCCGATCCTTTGGAGAAAAATTAAAAAAAGGACCTATTGCGTTATTCTTCTTCCTCTTTTCATTTTTTCTATTTTTTTATAAAACCTTTTCTTTGCAAAAAAGTTTGGGGCTGAAGTGTAATATTGGAGCGGTACATTAATGCATTAAATGAGAAGGGGCCAAAGGGAATATTTCCGAATCATTAACAACTATTAAAAAGAACCAAGAGCCCACACTGTGAAATGTGATTGCAAATTGTGCAAAATGATTACTTCTGGGTTAGGTTTTACTTAGATTATTATACTTTAAACCTTTCTGACACATTGAACAATGTATTTTTTCCAGATTGTCTTGTGACAGTCCAAACAAAACCTAGCGAAAGCTAAGAGAAAAGGAGCTGGTATATTATGCCCTCGCCCTTTTCAATTCTCTATTGTGGTAGCAATGCAACACTGTTTGGATATGACCAATACGCTTTAGTTTGCAACGGCCCTGGATACTTATTTTGACGATTCTAGGAAACTTTATCTCCACAATGAGATAAATCATATGTCAGGGAATCCCCACTCGAAACATGAACAAGGAAACAGTCGCGCTCGCTCATGACAAAAAGTAAACAAAAATTGGTGATAACTGCCAAAATGAATGAGCGTCAACATGATAACATGCAGCATGTAAAATTACAGTATAGACACTGTTTCATTGCACATTGCTATTTGCGAAAATGATGTAAGGCGATATCAAAACACTTCCGCATTTTATTGCTCTTTCTAAAAATGTTCAGGACCACAAGCACTATCTTCCTCTTTAAAGAATGATGAAATCATAAAGGAATGCAAACATGAAAACGTCTCATCGGGATAGTATTGTGCTTTTTATGCAAAATCGGAAAAAAGGAGATATGACTTCTCAAAGCAAGCAGCTTGGAAAATTGATGACCTCATAAAATTTTTCAATGCTTTCTAAAATTTGACAACATAGGAAAAAATTAATTAAATCTGGAACTGCAGGCTACTTTATTGGACATAGGGAAGTAAAAGACTTGAGTTTTGAGCTAATGAGCTACTGTTTTTGGCCTGATTCATATGTTTATGAGTCAGCGCAAAATTGTAAAGGCTTCATGCGGGACAGAGTCACTTACTCATGCGATGATATCAGGGCCGGCGAAACCAGGGGGCCGGGGGGCCATGCCCCCATTTTTCTGCAGAGCTAAAGAAAAATTTTAGGCAAAAGTGAAAATAAATGTAGTATATGATTCTGTAAGAAACTTTGCCTAGTATTCTTTTAAATGTGTCCTTAGCTTTACCTTGGTTGCTATGTCTTAACCATATCTATGTCTTAACCATATAAGACATACAAAAAATTGAAGATGGGATTTAGATCGAAGAAATCGGTCATTGTCTAAGTTTTACAACGAGTAACAGCTTGGCTAAGCAAATAGATCGAGTTTGGTTTTTCCATTGCCTAAACTTGGGACACAAGGTCTATTTGTCAAAGAAACAGCTGGAAAGTACTTTTTTGATGATATGAGAAATAAAGTATGGGCACAGTGACGTACCCAAGGGGGGGAATAGAGGGGTCCGGACCCCCCCCCCCACTTTTCTAAATATGATCCTCGAAATTTGTCCAAAAACGATGTAAAACTCATTGGGGGGGGGGGTGTAGTATACTGTATGCTTGTGTCAATAACAATTGTAAAATACTTTGCTATTAACCGTAGCTAACATGAATCAAATAATGGTGGAAAATTCTGTAAAAAGGGCGTTTCCCCGCATTTGCGAATGTTTGAAGGGCGTGGTCCAAAAAATCTAGGGGGGCTCCGCCTTAGACCCCGCCGCTGCTGCAGCTCTGGGTACGCCACTGTATGGGCAGATTTGTTTTTAAAAAGTATCATCAAGAAAACTTCACAGAGTTTGTTCGTTTGGAAAATCAATTTCTATTAAGAAAAAGAGAAAATATCGACGCAATTATAAATTCTATTTAAACTCATTTTGACAAGCCCAGTAAGGTTTTTCAAATTTTGGTTAAAGCACTTAATTTTCGAAAAAATCAAGATAAGATGTTACAAAGCTATATCTTAACTGTACAAAATTGCTTAACTTTTCATTCTAGTTGATAGTTTTTCTGTTGATATTTTAACGTTAATGTTTTTTATTAATCCGTGTTTCATTTATTTTTCTCCCCTATCTTTTTTCGGGTACTTTCAAAATCTAAAAAAATTTAAAACTTTTCTTGGTTCTTAACGTAGACATGAGAATCAGGTACAATTTACTTACATTGGTCGTTATTATAGCATCATATTGTACCGTACGCATTTTAGTATATTCATTTCAATAGGTCAATCAAGACCGAAATAAGATGACCCTAAGGAATATCTGAAGAGTTTGAAAAATCGAAGAAATGATTTCCAATCAGTAAGAGCAGCCTTCATTCTATGTATTTCCATTGGCAGATTGAGACCTGAGTTGATATCACGCCAAGAAAAGGATTCTGGGTAGTTTAACTCAATACCGAAACAGGATTGTATTCTTGAGTGTGTCTAACTGATACGAAAATAATGAAATAAATATGCCAAGACAATCAAAATTTGAATTTTGTTTCAATGAATTATTAATCTTATTAGGCAATTGATTTCACGCTAAATATATTAATAATTGTGAATTAGAAAATTAAAAAATTTAATGAAAATATAACTCACCTAAGAATAAAAAGAGCATCAAAACAAGGACCTCTGACAAAAATATATATAAAAATTAGAGATTTCAATCAAGCAACGAAAGGAAATTAATTGCAAAGGGCTCCTTGACCAATGTACCTGTAAGGGGGCAAATATAAGAAAGACATCAAATGGGCGAAACAACCACCCCCGTTTTGAACTGTCAAAAAGCTCGCGGAATAAGGACTGAAACTGATGCAATATTGTGAATCCCTGTCATAAATACTTAAAACACGTTTGAAACATCCATTTAATGTATTGTTCACCGGGGGCATCTCAAACTTTCAACTGTTTGGAATATACATGGCGCTTATAACATGTACTGTGTTTTTAACTCTTATCGTGACCAAGCAATATCTTATGAAACTTCGGCTCATAAAATGATAGCACTGATTCATTCATTACAATAAAAAACATAAAACTTTCGACTTAAACAATAAGGAGGCTAGTTCTGAAGAAGATAAAATAATAATAAATTTATCTTCATGTTTTTATCTCAACACATGGACAGAGATATAATAAATTTCTGTTAGCCATGAATTCAATATTTAAGACCTTTGGCGGTTTCCATATATTATACAGCTAACGATAAATAATCGAGACCAGCTCTTGATATGAGAAGCAGTTCACAAAAGACTCCTTTCTTTTGAACTTCCTACCTGTTATCGTTCTTAGTTTTGTTCATAGGCCTCATTTCTGAAAGCCTACTGTAAAGGAGTGGCGAAAAAGAGAACTTTAGGTTCCCTTTATTGCTGCCCCTACACAGCACACGTTCGGAAAAGAAGACACTGAGCAAAACACACGGAACAAAATCTTGCCGCAAGTCAACCTTCGGTAAATTAAATTTTTCTCACGCACTACGGCTAACACGTACATTTCCATCAGTGAACAAACTCAGAATATTCTTCTGCCAGGAACATGGGAATTTTCGAGCCAGTTTCAATTGGTATAGAAAATCTCCATTTCATTTTCTCAGCACATCATTTTCATAACGTTCCGTGATTCTTTGTTTAGCTCTTCGGTAATGGTGCATCATCCACCACCAGCCAGTGTTACCGACTGCTTATTATCTAGCTATTTTCTTTAATTTGGTCCTCGCTGCAAAATGGATTTAAAGATTTCGATTCAGCCCAGCGCATTTGTTTTTGCACAAAACGATAAAAACTCGGACGGCATTTTGCTTTGGTGAGCTCTAGAAAGTTTTTGCCAAATTCTTCATATAGCCTGTGGGTTTAACAAAAAAGACATTGATAAAAATCAGGTTATTGCCACGTAAATAAATAAAGACGACAATTGAAAAAACTAACGATAGATGCTGAAAATTAAATCGGTGAATTGGCATGAGGCTGAGTACAGTGAGGTTGGAAACAGTATTTGGGGATCCGAACAAGGGGTTGAGTTCAAAGAGGGCTGTTCCCTAGGGGATGAGTTGATGGGGCCAAGTGCAGCAATCAAAACTTGAGCCAGGAGGTAGAACTGGCAACGCATAGCTTTTTAAAAAGCATAAAATTCACCCAAAGAAAAAGATGCCTTAAAAATCATGTGAATTTCTTATGAATCTTATGAATCAAAAAATGTGAATCTCGGCATAAACTTTTCAGTTTTGCAGTGTATTTTCAGCCCATCAAAACCTACAAAGTGTTGACTTGTTTGAGTTTTGACTTAAGTAATGCAGCTCTAGAGTGGGGGGGGGGGGCGGGGGCACTGACGAGTAGCAAAATGTTTCTACATAAAAAGCTTTTTGGTCCAACAAATTATTTGTACCTCATGAATTGTTTATAAATTCACAACCAGGATAGGTTTGGATACATTTTTAATGTGACTTTCACGCCTTGTTCATGAAATATTATACGTCAATCAAAGAATGCACTGTTTGGGAAGACAACCCATTCACGATTATAAACAGAAATAAGCCTGTTCAGAAACTGCGAGGTTCCAAGAAACTTTGAGGAGGTCACATACTTTACAAAAGCGAGGCTCGATTTTGTCTAGCATATCAGAGAAAGAAGATGGTATGGATGTTTTATGAGCTTCATAACTTGAAATGACATCAAAGGTATCTAAAGGAAGTTCCGTTTTCAAAAGGAGACACAGTTTCATTTTAAGTGACAAGTTTTGAAAGCCAGTAGCAAACATCCTGCATTTGTCAACCCTGGTGATCATTCATGCCCATTGGCACAATCTTGTGAAATAGTTAGCAGAATCTGGTTTTCATGCGCCTTACAAGAAATGGCAGCTTTTTGTTGTAAATCGAAAGATTCAGGCAATCCTTGAATCGAAACAACAAGATCCAGCTCCCTGAACCCCATTCTAATTACCGTTGTTATCAAACGAAGCTGCAAAACCAGTGGTGCCATGGAGGGGGCTCAGGGGGCCTAGCCCTCCCTTGGCCCTCATAACAAGCGAGTGCATATTTAGCTGGATGAATTCTGTGTTGGCAACTCTTTATTTTACTATAGAATTCTCATAAATGAGCAATTTCTTATCAGTCTGTTTGTTTAATCGAATACTTTGAATTATTTCTACCCATTGTTTGAATTTCCACCCAATGAATTATTTCTAACGGAGAGTCTTTAACACAAATGCAGGTATATTGGGTGTAGTAAAGGTGTGATCATGGGTGTGGTCTTTGAATTTCCATGCAGCACAGCCCCCTTCCTAACATTTTAGGAAGGCAACCCTGTGTAAAACCTGTGTTTGATTGACTTTCACACATAGAAAGCTGCTAGGCAGTGACAAAATGAAACTTACCTGCATAAGGATGGATTTCCACGGTCTTTTGCAAACAAAGTGTTAAATTCATTGGTCAAGATTTCGCTTTCATTGTAGTAATCTTTGCTGCAGTAGACAACCTGGTCACTGCCTGGCTCTACGGGTGGCTCAATACCACTTCTTTCACAAAATTTCTAAAAAGGTTCTTCAATATAAATACCAGCACTTTTCAAAAGATGTCTCCATTTCTTACAAAATGAGAGAGAGTAGGCAAACATATTCGATTCAAAAAGGCTTTCAAAATTTTTTGACTTTTAAGAAAGGTGAAATCAGAAAGAATTTGCACCTTTAGACTGATTAAATGCAAAATCTTAGCAACAAAATGATATTCAAACAATTTAAAATTTTACTCGCAGAAGCTGTCAATATCTGCAATTAGAGCAACATAAAATGAAAGACAGATCCATTATCAATCCATTTCAACAGATATGCATTATGAAGATTAAACCTTTCAGCACAAGCTACCATTTTATATATTATACAGGCAATAATCAGACTCACAGTTGCGTCTTCTTCTGGTAAACTTTCCATGACAATGGCTTGTGAAACTGAGGCAATTGTTTCATCATCAGCATCAGTTCCTGTAAAACACTGCTTCACTTCATTCTCAACACAACTCCTCATACTGTTAAAATTTGTCCTGAAAGAAAGTAAAATTCAAAATAAAAATTACCATACAAGAATATGAAATCCTTAGCCAAATAATATAGAAAGGGTAGAACTCAATGTTGTCTCATTGCTGTTTTTGGATGTGAGCTAAATAATTGTTGTTTGTTTTACCTTGTTTCATAAAAGAGGTGATAGATCATAACAAACGCTGGGGCCTGGGAGCAATCTTTTCCTAAGTTTGTAAGGCAAACAGCAGTTGATTAGCTGCAGCCTATCAGAAAAAGTATTCTAAGCTATCATCATCAAAAATTTGCCTTTGAATGAGCTTCCTTGCTGATAACAAATTTTGTGAGCCTTAAATACATTTGCAGATGCGTTGACATGAAGCATAGAAATAATGTGAATCAAGTTTCCTTTCTGCCATTTTACTGTGCTGCACTCAGGCACACTCCTCTCTTGGAATGCAAATTATGTAAATATGTCTAGAAAAACATTACAGTCAATTAAATTTGAAAACATCGGAAGCAAGATAACCAAAAGAAAATGAAAATTTCTTTGAACAGATTCAAAATAGCAAAACCCTGTAAGGACAGGATTAAAACCCTATCTCATAAGGATAGGGTTTAGCATTAAAAAGCAACATTATGAAGTAAGCTGCAATTTTAGGAAAATTAATCACGAGCTACACAAAATTGAGTTTAAATTGGGTTCATAAGAATTCAGGGACGTTTTTAGACCACATTCTATGATACTTCAATTCCCATACAGTTTGGAATCATCAATCATGTAGTTCAGATATGAAGCATTAACTTTAAAATTTTCTTTTATATACATTAAACAATATCATTTTTGGCCATCTTTGAAAACTAAAGAAAATAGTATAAGGAACTAATCATTGAGAATCATTTTGTCAAAATGTCAGCAAACCTTCTACGTTTGGTGTCATGTACATAGTCTACCAATACGTGTTAACAAAGGAGATATGAAAATAGGCCATAAACTATTAATATGAGGGACACTTAAATACAGACTTGTAGATTGATTTAAACATTACTCACATACAGTCTATATTTGGATCTTCTCTGTATTTCATATAGAATTTCCTCATGCATGGATTCAAGATGCCCATAAGCTTTTCAATAGAGCAAGTTCCAACTTTCACATTTACTAAAATATGAAAGAAGGTGCCGTAAAATATTTCATTCCTTTTCATTCTTTTACTATGGATATCAAAGACATATACAAAAGCTAAATTTCCAAAAAATAGCAAGGAACAGAAAACTTTAATAGTGCATGGAGAGTTTTTGGCAAGTAATGAAAAAAGCAAAATTGATTATAGCTGAAGTCCTTAAAACTTTAATAGTTTTCCTGCTACTCTTGTCTTACCAAGCTGTTTGATTTGTTGCATGTCAAAGGCTACATCATATCTATATATATAGATACAATTTTTAAAATTTTCATCACTATAAAGTTTGGCACACGCTAGACTCTTGTGAGCAAATTTTAGGACCCATTGCTGAATTTTATTTCATTTGGGGATACTGATTTCTTTTTAAAACCATTTTTGCCTGATTCTCATAGGAACAGGATAGGTTATCATATAGATTAATTATTGACTAATGCCTCCTATGCATCACGTTTCATATTAGTAGGAAAATTCATAGATAAATTTATTTTTTTGGATTTTAGGAACACAACATTTTTCTAATCAGGAGAATGACCTTGGCTGGTACTTAGGCCACATAATGCTTCATAGTGGAAGAAATGTTTATGGTTATTGTAATTTGACTCTTGATGCAACATGCCAAACCACAGCATTTTGCAATACACAAGGCAAATTTTGGACCAAAGTTATTTTCAGCTGAGAAACTAGCAGTTATAGAGGCAATAAGCCTACAACCTACAACTAATATCCAAGATTTTCTCTACCTTTGGAACTGGCATCTGTGAAATTTTTTATTGATATTAAGAAAGATATGGGAGTATGACTCCCATACTTTGGTTTTGAATGACTTCAAAAAGAGAACTAGAGTTTGGAAAGTATTTAAATAAAATAATCTCTGATTCGGGAAAATTGAATCATATGCAAACATGTTATGCTATTAATATTGTGTGGGTCACAATTAGAAAGTGGCTGACGTAAACGTTTTGAATCCTCGCTTAATAAATAATTGAAACATCAAGTGATCTTTGTACTTTCCTTTTTATCTGACTATTCTTGTTGAAAACGACATTTAACTTGTTGCCACGTGCGCGCTAAGTTTCTCGCACCCACACCTACGCAGTAAGTGGGAAGCTGGCGGTGCCAACACCTCCTCGAAGCTAATAAAGATAAGAAGTCTACCTGCAACACGTAGCACTATCATTTTCATTTCAAATCCATCTTTACACACGGAAAACGTGTTACCAGTCACTTGAAATATAACCAGGGTTGAGTCATAAGAAAGGTTCTGTAGGCCATGGGGAAGCCCATTTAGGCCTTGTGTATACAACTGGATCCCTCTCCCACCAGAAATAATTTTCCTTTGAGATCTCCTGCAATCTTATAGAGAATCAATAAACTACCTACCATTCTCTAGAATTTCAAATGCATCAACATCTGGGGGCTCCATACTTGCAAGATTTGTGACTATGGTTCTAAAGAAAGAGGGTCTATCGGCTTAACAAGAACAGGAAACTGATGCTGTTGTTGTGGTTGGCAGATGCCTGGTAGAGTGGATCTCTAAATCCTGTGGTGCTGTCACTCTCCTCCACTTGTGGAACAAAAACAAGTGACTGCCGACGTGCCCATGGATGAAAAGAGCATCTTTTTAATTTCCCTCAGCACAATAATTTTCAAAACCGTTTCAAATGCTTTTCATGTAAGGAACCTAGCTCAAGGCCAAGTTCTTGAAATCCTTTACTTTTGGACCATTTTTGATCGAATTGTAGAAATAAAACTTCGAGTTTCTCAAGGATTTTGTCTCTAGTACTAATTGTTTTCTATTTTTTCAACCTTTTACATGTAGGTTTCTTACAAAGTGGTTCCTTAAAGAAAATTTCTAAATAAAAATTTGTTGAGGGTACAGCCCCCCCCCCCCCCCCCCCCCGTGCTCCCGTCTACCTGATTTGCTTCAACAACTTTTTCATGTATGTTTTAGGGGAACAAGCAGCCTTACGATTCAAGATTATAAAAGTTATACTACTTTGATCTTGCGAAAAATTTAAGGAAACGTAGCAATATCATAGGAAAATCTAAGTTATCACAATGCGCTTAAAATTTACGATAAGAGGCTTTAAATTTTTTTACAAGTTACAAATATGAAGAGGGAGTCTATCAAGTACCAATAATTTCGGTGGGATTTAATTTTAGTGACGCAAGGCAACCGAAAATGTATCCCGCCGATTTTTTGAAACAGGAATTTTTTCTTACGGAAATTTTCAAACGCTAAAAATTCTGGTTAAACACTGATGGACTTCAAAATAAATACAAACTTTTCCTTTGATGTTTTTGAGTATTCCTTACATCCAATCCATATCAGTTTTCAGTTTCTGGTTCTCCTTCGTCATCAACAAATAAGGTAGATATCCAGCTCAACTTCAAATACGAGTTCTCTATGGGCTGAGCTTACTTATTAATTTATTATCTTAATTAAAATTCTTTATACACAAAAATCTCTTCAGCTTACAACTAAATACCAAATAAAAAAACATATACCCTAGTTATATTAATATAATCTGCATACAGTTAAAGCTAGCTTATGCACAGTTGTCTATCTTATAGCAGCTGCTCTTCCAGGGAGTCGTGTTTTATGTTGTGTTTTCATTTGCTTTTTTAATTTACTAACTGTAGGGAGCTCTCTGATATTGATGGGAATATCGTTCCAAGCTTTAAGAGCCGAATAGTGAAAGCCTTTCTTGACGTATTCGAGGCTATTTCTTGCGATTTGTAGCTGATGGTTCTACTGGCTCTTCGAAATTTCTCTTGATTATTTATTTGTAACGGTCCAGCGGCTTTAGGACCTATCAATTTAGAATCCTCAGTTTTAACTTGCAATCGATCAGAATTTTTAATCCCCTCGTTGCATTAACCGAAATTGTTCAAGCTTTTGCCGAAACTTACACCGAAATTTCAAAATATGACCGATATTTTCCACCAAAATTTATGGCACCGGATTTATGGTATTTAATGTATACAACATGTGAGATTTTTAAGTTGTATTTAAAAACGAAAATCATTTTAATATCTCCAAAACATGAAGAATTAAGATTCGCCCTACCACTAGCACCTCATAACAGTTGCCAACAATTCAAAGTCACAGAGACAAACGAGCTATAAAGAATCTTGTGATGACTTTAAACTTCTACTGGGACATCGTTCTATAGCTTCATAAAAATAAACTATTATTCAACTACGCTAGCTAGCTGTAAGGCAAAAAGAAAGTTTAGAGAAAAAATGAAAGATATGAAATGAAAAATTGGCATATAAATTGCGACGTTTAAAAAATTCTTTTTTCATCCACAGAAAAGCTGGGGCCCTTGAATCGTCATTGTCTTTTCACGGCGGAATTTACTTAAAAAAGGAATCCCGATCAAAATGTCAGAATGTCTTTGCACAAAATCATTCAGAAAGAATGTCGATAGACTATGTGTGGCTGCCTTCTTTACACAACATCGAAAAATGTCGACTTATTTCATCAACTGTTTTGCTGCGCATGATTTCCAAAACGTGCAACTGGATCGACAAAAGCTTGGAACCTACTCCGGCTAATAGATCAAAACGTTGAAAATAAACTCAAGAACACGAAAATTCAGGCGTGACTTCGGGTTTATCCTTGAAAGTATTTTCATCAAACATTAAGGCCCCGTTTACACGGGAACGGATCCTCATAGATCCGTACCCAAACTGGCTACGATAGGCCTTGCGTTTACACGGGCACGGTAGGATCCGTATCTTTTCTGGGAGAGATACGTTCCTTTTTGGGTACCATTCGAAAGCGAATCCATTTGGATCCGCACCTTCATTGGCGCCGTGTAAACGGGAAGATACGGGCCCGCAAAGGCACGGCAGTAAAACTAGACTGCTGCTGGGGTCAATGGAGGCCATTTCAATTGTACGCAGCACTCATCATACAACAAAGAAACTACTCTCCCACCTCCACTCTTTTTTCACAGTCGACAGCCTTTCTGAACCCTGTCTTCATCTTGTTTTATTTTCTTTTCATCTTTTTTTTCGTAATTTTTTCTGCATCCTGGCTATTTGGAAAGTCCTCTGTTGCTATTTCTGGATAGGCCTCGATAAATTTAAGTAGAATGTCTTCGTATTTCGACATAACAGTCCCCCAGTGTTCGCCATTCTGCATTTTAGCAGCATTGTAATCCATAACTATTTTCATCAACAAAGCTGTCTCCTCCTCTGTCAATGTAAAAATGAACGCTTATCGTTCCTTGCAAATGACGCCATCTTAGATATTCTCCCGCCAAAATCAAAATTAACAATTACCTTGTCATTGCGCATGCTTAAAAAAGCGATTCGATTTTGGTCCGTTCCCGTGTGAACGCTATATAGTTTAGGATCCGATCTCATGTAAATGCTTGTGGATCGTACCCATATCGTACCTAAAAGGTCCGGATATTTTGGATCCGTTCCTTTTTCTCTCGTGTAAACGGGGCCTAAGAAGAAACAACGGTCCAGCATGTATTCCTTATAAAAAACATTTTGAAATTAAGCTATATGGTGGCACATGTTTCAGTTTCATTTCATTTGATTCATTAAGCAAGGTAGTACTTCAGCAATGCTGATTTTCAAGGGGCCCTCCACTTAAAAAACTTCCAGGAAAAGCTATTGCATAAAAAATAAATGAACCTTATTACAATTCAATATATACAATTTACAAATTATAAAAAACCCTATTTTAATCTGACTTGTCAGCAACAAAGAAGTCCTGGAAAGAGCTGGAAGGAAAAGAAGTTTGCTTAAATCAATAAGAAAGAGCAAACTAGAATTTTTCGGACACATTTTGAGGAAAGGAGGGTTCACGATAAAAAGTCTTTGGAAACAAATAAAAATCTCATAATCTACACTCTTTTTATAAGAACCAGATAATTTTGGCCCGATGTTCGTATTCTTTTGTTGATTCGGGGCTCGCGCAGTCTTAATACTGTTCTTATTTCAACATTGATTTCTACATATACAAACTATTAAATAAATTTCTGAGACTACTGAAGAACAGTTTTACTACACTTTAGTTGCACGGTTGATATGCTGATAAAATCTACTCTGTTTTGTTAACATGGGAAAACATTTTCAAAAACATATAGTTCTTTTCTCCTAACCTTTTATCCGAGGTTGACGATGTTCTTATTTCTTGGCAAAGCGACCTTCGTCCTTTTTTAGTGTGTTCTTAAAGAGTATATTTGATACTGTGACCAAAATAGCTAATAATATATTCTCCAAAATATCATAGTCTGCTCTAAGTCGATGCTGTCCTCTTTTCCCAAAGTTGGTCTTTAAACTATCATTGACCTGGCAACTTCTGATTCGACTACCAAAACAAAGTCTTTTTAGCAAATGCAACTCAGTAGGATTGAAACTTTACCAAAGAGTAAGCGAAAAAACTTTTGGAAATCTCGGAATACTTTCCTGTAACCAAAACTGGTTCCCTTGCTGATTTTCTGAAAATTTCAAATCGAGCTGCAATCCAAGACAAAACTGTACAGACAAAATGAAATTTTTGCAACTTTCTACTTCATGTTGCCACTGTAAATTCGAATCCCCTCTTTTAATGTTGGACTAGTAGATCTCTCATCTCTGCTTCAAAAATATGCCTTCAATATTGAATCGGGGGAGAGAAAAACAAGTTTTCTTGAAAAAAAGTTTAACAATGTTTGTCCTGGATTGCCGATACACAAGAGCAAATGCACAGTACAACCAACGTGTATATGCAATCAGAAAGCATAAAATACCTACTAGAAAAGCTTTACAAAATTGTCACCCATTTCTTCAAGAAACATGGTTTGAAAGAAGTCATTGACTAGATGAGGTTCGTACTTGCAGCATCTCTTGATACTCGGCATGTAGTTCACCTCTATCAGCATCGGCTGGATACTCGTTTTTTCTACAAACACAAACACAAATGTGGATAGCAATACTGGCAAAAAATATTAAACCTTACCATGATACGATAATTTTTATGTTGCATTATCAAACGTAGCACAGACAGGGAGAAGCAAAATGCAAAAAGGGTAGTGCCCACCAACCTATTGGTGTGTAATCCCACTATATTCATGCAATAATTAAACAAATTTATATTCTTTTCTAATCATTTACCTGAATGCTATTTTGAATAGAAAAGTTCCTAACTAAGGTTGGATTAGTAACAGAAAAACCTCAAAATTATTTAGCTTTGGTATTGTGCAAAACAGCATTGCTCTAAAAACCAAAATATTTTACGGTGATATCAAATCAGTTAACATCAAATCCGAAATAAATGCCCCCCCCCCAACTTGTTAATTTTTTGGCAAATATCTACCATCAAGATCCTTACCCTAGAACCTCGTGCATTAAGAAACTGCAAGGTTTGTACAATAAAGCTTGTCGCAGCGTAAGGTAGCAAATCGAGAGCAAAAACAAAAGTGGACACATTCTCAAAAACTTTATATTTCTAATAAACTATTATAAATAAGTTTCTTCTATTTCATTAAACCGGCGTCTTTTTATATTCTTTCTGTTTCCAATCGGAAGGGACTGCTAGCCATTGATTACTTTTGTAATTATTAGGGAATTTCTCCACCCATCCCGTTTATTTTAGTTCCCCCTTGATTTGGATTTCCATCCACCCTGCTCATTCCAAATTCCTTGACTATTCCAAACTGGAGAGTAACTTTGCATCGTACCTTTATCCTGCCATTTGTACATAAAATCCAGGCCATACATTGCTCTGCTCTAAAAATTCAAAAGTAAAATGCTTAGAGAGGTGATCGTTTGAACTTGAAAACTTCTCGACGAATTTAAGAATCGCTTACAGAAACGTAAATTTAACATTATCTAATCAGGTTACAGGATTAATGGGAAGAAGTCGGTTGGGCAATGAGTAAATCCTTTAGATTCAGTAACTGCCACAGAGTTCTTAAATTATGACGTCACAAAACAATTCTCCTATAACCTACAAGAGCATCATGAATTACCCTTAGAAGGGGAAAATTCAGTTAAATGTGTTACGAATTGGCTGAGATATGGCGAAATGAGTACAGGCGTTTCCCCATCAAAGCTCTGTATATTTGGTCTCTGTTCATACCTTTATGAGCCAAAATCTTTCATTGGCCATATTTGACCCAATTTTTAACATATTTGACTGATTTTGCATATTCAGAAGTATGTTTGTGGTGTTAATATTAGAAGTATGTTTGTGGTGGCTATGTGATCAAAAATCCTTATATAGATTAAAATGAAAACAGATATTAATATAATGCTACGTTAAAGAATTCTTCAACTACAGGGTACAATAAAAATGAATTGATAGCAAAGGCTAACGGTATATAGATAATAAATGGTGCAAGAACTTTCTCTCTAGCTAGAAACCACTTGAAATGAATGGCTAACCATTTTATATGTAATGCAGATTTTGTAATGATGTAATGATTCAAACATGAATGTGAACGGAATGTCAATTTAACACTCTATAAATACGAAATTAGTAGAGCTTTTAGAGATTCGATATCTTGTGGAAACATACCTGGGTACTGTGTCCGATGCCATTCGGAGGTAGCCTTGATACAGCGGATTTGAAAAGAAGTTTTATAATCTCGAAAGTCTTACTCTGAAAAAGGCAAGAATGGTATACGGTGAAGCAAATTCTATAAGTAATAATAAAGCTTAAACATTCCTGAATGTGAATTCGCGTTTTCTTGATAATTGCAATTCCAAAAGGCCTGTATTTTTCAATTCGCTAAGGTTCTTATCACGCGGTCCATAACTACAAAGGATTTATGAGTAAAGGGGATTCTTGCAAATACACTTACGGGGCTGCTGAAAAGCTGCCCGACGCGTGCGCAGTGAGCGCTGTCAAAAGTCCTCCTACTGGTACGAAACTGATCGCATAAGTTGTAAAACGGTTTAAATTTCTCTTGCCAAAATAATTTTTCAGGCTCAGGAGCCAAAAGGGCCGAAAAGAGCACAAATGCTTGTTCCTATGTATCGTTTTCATCCAAGTTTCTGTTTTGTCAGTTGAATAATTGTGTTTCTAGACAGGTAATTAGAGATTGTACATGGCAGAAGGCAATAATAGAAAAGAGGCAATATAGATTTTTTTGTTAGAGAAATTAGCACAAAGAGTTCTGGTACAAAAAAACCAAATTTCTCAGAATGTTAATCTTAATAAGAATAATTTCAAGCGAGGGCCATTTCCAAAATTCGGGCTTTCGATCCGCTGAAGACTGCTACTGATTAAAGAAGATATTACCTCAATATTGTCCCATTCCTGCCCCGGGAACTGGTCTTGAAAACGCTTCTTGAAATCATCCCAATGAATCTATGTAAAGAGAAATTTTGATATAATTGACTTATATAGATATTATTAGAATCGCTATTAGAATCAGGTGATATTTGACAGATTCGCTAACTTGTTGTACCCTAGCCTTGCAGTTTACGTAAAAATTGACGAATTCAACTCATAGGTGAAGCGATGGTTACGTTGGATCTAAGAAGGTGCTATATAATTACGCTGAACTAAGAATGTTCTATATAGTTAAAAAAACTGTTGCAACACATGGCAAAAAGAAATGAGCTTTTTTCATTTGATATGTCGTTTCATTTAATTTGAGTCGACCCGCTGGTAGTTCCTGAAACAATCTTCATATGCTTGTGCCTTGCTGTTTAAGTGCAAATTAACTTAAAATGTAAAAAATATTTGATTTTGTGGCTAGAGGCTAGTTTTTTGGTACTCTCGAGTACCGGATGAAGAGGGGAGGGGTGACAATAATCGGGGGCGACAATTATCGAAAATAACAATAATTGGTGACGGTGGAATGGTGTGATACAAAGTAATCGAGGGTTGGAACAATCGGAGGGAAGTTTTGAATGGTTCGATAAAATGATAATAAGAGGATTGGAATATTTGAGAGAGGAGATTAAAAAATGAACAATAGTCGTTGTCAGATAACGGTCCTGTTCTATATGAAGAAAAAGTCCTTGATGAAGTCGATTTGACAGATGTTTTGTACTAATTTTAATCACAATCACTTCAAATTTTCAAAAAAAATAAAAGCGGGGTTGGAATCAAAGTTAGGGGTTCGGGAAAAATTTTCAAAAATTAATAACTAGAGGGGGATTAAAAATTAAGAACTTATTCGGTAATCAAAAGTATTCGATGGGATGATTTGAAATTGTCTAATGTCGTTTTTAAAGTTAAAATCTTTCAGAGCCGAAACTGTGAATTGTACCCTTACATATTGCAGTAGTTGAAGTAACTGAAAATTATCAATCAATCATCGTTTAGTAATAACATCAGATTTCGAGCATGATTCTTGGCAAAAATCATATTCCATCCTTATGAAAAAATGGATATGTAGAGAAAAACCAAGAAACATGACTTTTAGGTTAAAAAGTGACCTAGAAGAAACTTTATTATGAATCATACTTAAGAAAGAGGTGTGACTGGTTCTCTAGAAATCACGTGTCGGTTGAACAGAGAAAATTATGTGTACAACAACAAAACTCTGTACAGGACAGCAACTCTGGAAGATGTTCCAAGACGCAGAAGTTCCAATCCGCTTGAAAACGCTCCTTAGTAATATGGTTTAAACATAAAGAGGTTCACAAATCATTTCTCCGTAATCGTTGGGGATTGAAGCATGCAAAAAGCCACAGCGAAATATTTCGCAGTACACATGTCTGCTAACAACTAAAATATTTACACGATTCGAATCAGCTAAAGGAAAACAATCTTTTAAAAGACAGCAATATTCACCTGATGTAATTCCGCCCCTCTGTAATTCATTACTGTCAAATGTTTCTCGTACATCTCGAAGTCGTCTTGAGAATACTGTCTGTGATTGTAAAATAAAATTTAATTTATGACGAAGGTACCGTGATAATGGCATATATCAATTAGTACAATAGAAAGGCGTATATCAAAGAAATACTTCTACTTTGCAGTATGTAGTTTTTTGTAATTAGGGTTACTTTTGGCGAGGGAAGGAGAAGGGACTGACAATTAAGGTGTTGGGAGATTTGGCGGTTATAAAAAATCCCGGGGGAGTACTCCCATTATGGCCAAACAGGGGGTCCAGTCAGGGTCAGAGAGGTCCAAAGCTAAAATGTTGATAAATTACCCTTAAATGGTAGTCTTTATTGACAAATAACCCTGAAATGGCAGCACAAGGACGGAATTATGTCATTGGTAGCATCCTTTTCTTTGTACGTGCCTGGTCCTTCTTTGACAAATTTCTTCGCCATTGCCTGTTGTTGATTCGGGAAAGATAAAATCATTGTCTATAATAAATCGCAAGCTAAACTAAGCCGTTTTGATATTATCGAAACTGGGCAATTTGGTAGCCATTTGTTAAGACCCCTAAATCGATTGGACCTCTGTCAGGCCTTAATGGGAGTAACCATAGATCAAAACATAGATAATGTTGACAGCTGTGACTGCTTATCTCGAAAGCAGACGGCAACGATTACGGCCGCCATAAATTTTACCATAGAAAAGAATCGATGCGTGAGGGACTGGGTTCATGTTTTTTTTCTGTAGCCACATCGGATATTCGTATGACTGCCTACCTCAAATCAGAACAAAAAGCAAGAGCATTACACTTCCCAGGCATAAAGAAGATATTATACTTAGCATCGCTACAGTATTATGATAACTTCAGCCAGACTTTGAATACTTGGCCTAGGCAGAATGAAGAATTACTACGCAAGTTCCTTCTCTTCAAGTTGGGGTAGGTCATCATAGATGGAATTAGTTGCCAATTCTCACGATCCATTCGTGAATTATCAAAAGTTTGAGAAAGATTTCAGCTAGATAACATCTCAAATGGATAAAGTTACTAGGGGGCTCTTTGATGACTATTTTGATGACAATATATGATTGCTAAATTCAATAAATGTTTCCAAGTTGAGACTGAGTATGAAATATTTGCTGCGCAGAGTGTAACGAGGCCATGCAAAGAACGCCTAAAAAGGAAGTACTACAAATCAGTGCATTTTGAATTTATTTTGCTTTGGCTCCCTCTCTTAAAAGATTTTACTTGGAAATAATGCTTAATTGCTTGAAATTTAATGGTACTTACACATTTGCGAAGCGAAGATAGAAAATTTTGTATGCATAGAGTCTTAGCGGCTTGACGGACTTCAAAACAACCATAAATCGGATATCAAACTTTACGTTTCCGACGTCATCGCGGCGAAAGAGCAATGGGTCTTCTATATACTTGCAAGCAACCTGAAATTTAATAGCAAAGAAACAGATTATAAGCACAAAAATTGTAATAAATTTTGCTTCAAATTTCAAATTCAATTTTGCTGCAAACACGTCCAAATTGGTTATGTCAAGGCATCTTGTAAGAACAGACAATGGGCGAAATATCTTGGACAACCTGCGGTGTGCACTTAAAGATGGAAAGCGAATAAAGACCGGTTTTGGTTAAATGTGAGGGGAAGGATGAAATACCAATTTCTTACCTTAGGCCCTGTATCAACTAGTCTTATTATCTGGGTTAAGTTATTTGTTATGGTATGGTCTAGCCCGCGAGCCAGGTTCCAAGGCTTGCACATCCAAATGTTATTCAAGCCCCTAAAATAAGAAGATTTTCTTCATTAGAAAGTTACTTCGTTTTAAAAAGGACATTGCTGGCTAACCTACAGTGTGGTATGCAAAGTAATGAGTTAATCAGTTAACAACGAATCCATAGTTTTCTTAAAATGTTCGAAACAAAATAATTCCAAACCCTAGTATTAACACTTTCAAAATGGATTCCATGCCTAGATTGGCTAAAATTTTTCAGAATTTACGAGTGTTGGCTTGTGAGTTAATGACATGCGTGCAAGAGTGGATTAATGATGTTTTCACAAATTGTCAATTCTAAATACATTAATGCTACAATTTTCCCAGCACATTTGCAAATGCAGAAAAACACGTTTGAAGTTTGTAATTGAAAAGTCACTTAGTCCTGAAAAATTTGAGTAAGCGAAAATTGACGATGAAGTGATCGCTCAATCATGATTTAAGTTTGACAATGAAGTGATCGCTTAATCATGATCAACTTGCTAAAGTTTGTAATCGCTTTCTGTAAAACTTAAACAACAATGAAGTAATTGCTTAATCAATAAATCACAATTAAGCAGTTCGGGCAAACCTGGCTTCTCTTTCCTTAAAATGCTTGATGAACTTTGGTAGCTCAGTGGACAAGTTGAAAGTCGTAGGTAGCCACATCGGTCCCCTGTGGCATATTTCGTCGTCAGTGGCTTTGCGGCCATCAAGCTTAACACTTCTCATTGCAACTTCAGCAAGAAGATCCTTGTTTGTCAGGATGTTCTCTGAAGGAAATTGATTTACAATTTTCCCCGGGGTTTCAGCTAATGATCTAACAAGACAACACAACAAATACACTAAAAACCCTTGCAAAAGCCTGAATTCAAAAAAATTCAACAGAAGATTTTTAAAATACATAATTTGATTAATTAACCTAATAAACTATATTGTAATAGATTAAATATTTGATAGAACTATTTGATTGTGACTGTCTTGAACATAAATATTCTGCGTACGATTTAGCATAAAAACGAAAACAGTTATGTAGGGTAATGGTGTCCAAAAGGAGAATTTTCAGCTGTACGATATATATTTGTAATAAACAGTGAAATAAAATGATGCCTATGAGATCGATGTCAAATCATTGGATACTTAAAAATGTACCACGTAGTTGAAGGGTCCAAGAGAAAAACTGAATCTTTCTGTCTACGCAAGTCAACAGAAAAAGCTGGCAAATTAATTCATATTTCAGATTTCCGTGACATTTGCAACAAGAAACCTATGAATTCATTTCATATAAAAAGACCATTCGAGACACTAGTCCCTTTTGCGAGAGAGAAAACATACAACTTGAATGTATTCAGATAAAAACGAACACTCTAAAAAAGAATGGATACTTACTTGAAGTCTTTGAAATGATCATACAGCCATAAAATGTCGGCAGTTTCTATGTCATCGTGCAAAACAAATCTTGAGTGAGATAAAAACTTTTCAACTTCCTTGCATTCAGTATAAACTTTGAGGGTTTCATTAGAAGTGGAAACGTCGCTGGCAGTTTGCCGATCCGAAATCTTCTCGCTGCATCTATCCTACAAGAAACAATACCATCATAAAACACGAAAACAATGGTAAAGAATCCTCGCTTGCTGTCAATTCCAAACCTCGTACTGTGATTCCTATACTCATATATTTTATTAGACGCTTAGGAAACCATCGCGAACGAATATTAAAGCAATGGGAAGCAATGACGTCATAAAATTTTTTTAGCAATGAATGTCTTCAGTCCAGGCTGTGATACGCTAGCTTAGAATACATTTATACGGAAAACATCAAAGCATCAAATTCAGCATCAAAGCACTCCAGGGCCCCTTCAAGCTGTTAACTAGAGAGGAGAAACTGCCTCTTCCATCCTAGTGATCTTCAACTGTTTAAAACAATAGGCAAGTGTCTTCCTCTCTACATAAAAACCCTTGATCTTGATCCTGAGCTGATTTTCCATAGAAAAGGCTACAAGGGAGTTAAAGTACAAAAGGTAAGCACCCACCTCTCTTGAAGTAAGATCGATCTTCTCCAGCCAATCGTCGACTACCTCTTCTAAATTAAGCCGGTCTGGAAACCATGGATACAGGCGTGAATCGCGTTGCTTATCTTCCTCTGCTCCACTCAAATAATCTCGAACAGCCTCTTCTGTCAATCAAAAGGCAATCAGATTTGGAAGGTTTTGGCTTCTTAGAAATAACGGGCAAGCAAAATAAATAGAATGAATAACAGGTTTTTTGGGGACTAAAAAGAAAGTTATATCATTATGTCATAAAAACAGTAAATTTACTAGGCAGCTTGGGAAACTTAGCTGAAATCTTCTGTTCGCGAAAAGAGAGTTGGCAAGCATGAAGACTAGCTTCCCGGGAAGTAGTTTTGCAATTTGACAGTAAATTTGGAAAGGATGAGGTGATTGATAATATTATTGGTGAATTAAAATGCAATTACTAGTAAATCTAAAAATGAATGAAACTAGGCAAGCCAACCTTCAAATTCTATATCCTTTAATGGGAAAATCAGCGAATATGTGAGCTGCGTAGGGACGTAGAAAAACAGCTTGAATTCGACATTAGGTTCATCCGAGTGAGAAAAGCGTGAGCCAAACTCATCTAGCATGTACCAAAGAGTAATTTTCTTGTCCACCTGTTGCTCAATGTCTAAAGAGCCGTCTTCATTTATGATCTAACAAACAAAGTAACAAGATTACCACCTTGCATGGCAACTACATGTTTTGCTAAAGAGACTAAAAGGAGTTGGACATGAATAACACAAGTGTGTTGTAGTGTGGTGGGCCCACAATGTCTTAGGCACATTCAACGATTAAGCAAATTGAATAATGCATAAATCCTTGTGAAATTGCACTTTGCCCTTGACGCTATAACGGAATTATTTACAATGCTTGCCCAAAGATTTAGCACACTAACATCAGTTTTCAAGGACAAACTAAACCATTCCATCCCCCCCAGCCTTGTAGCTGCAGGGGGCGCATGGGGGACTCTGAAAATTTTGCCAAAAAAAAAAATTGCCAACAACTTGCCCCCTCTGGCTACAGTTTTTCCGAATGATATTTTTAAATTTGGCATAATTATAATTCCGTGAGGTTAATTTAGTCTAAATATATCTGTTCGATATATATCTGTTTTCTTGTTTCAAGCCTGCCCCCCTCAGGTATGGTTCTTGCTTGAGTTTGCCCACCTTAGCCGTACGTGGTTGTTTTCCCGCTTTGAACCATCAAATAATACACTCAAAAAGTAAGGATATCCCCATTAGACTGACACCGTGCTTTCAAGAAAAATTAGCACAATAAGAGAGCATTACCAGCACAGGATGGTGTAAAATTTGGTAAAGATAAGAGGACCAACGATCAATAGGAGATATAGTACATGTGATATAGCTGATCCATGCGGTACGCCAATGCTGGATAAATAGACAATTGTACCAATCTTGGACATATGTTACTTTAACAATGGGTACGTACTAAAACTTCATAAATACAGTAGAATGTTGATCTAGAGATTGTAGTAATTTATATTCAATTTAGCATCATAATCAGAAACAACCACCAATTGAAATATTTTTTAATACGCAGTTGCATTCTCTTAACAAGACTTGGGATTAGAACTGAAATTAAATTCATGGCCTAAAAGAAAATGGAGAGAGACCACAAAGACATACCCGCAATTCTGACTCTGCTATGCACAAACTATATAAGAGGTTGCAAATTTCAATAGTAATTTAGAAAGGACACAGATGGAAGAATGCATGAACAATGATTAACATAAATAATTAGCTACTACAGAACATTAAGAACCTCGATAACAGTAAAATTTTACTTCAAAAATCACATTACCGTTTTTGCAACTTTGTAGGTGTGACAGTATCTGTAAGAAAAATGATACAAGCTATCAAAACCTCATCAGATCCAATTTTCTAGCTAACGGGCTTTTTAACTAACAAAAACAATGTGTCTAGAGATTCGTTGTAAAGAGTGAGCACTTTGAGAAAATACACTTTTACCTATTACATTTGCAAAGGGGTTGTAAATTAAAAAAAGAGATCCTTCCTATGCATAGGGGTCATTCCAAATGAAATCAATACAGTGAAAAAGCTCATGTTCTCAGATACTAATGAAACTTAGTGGACCAATTTAGATCCATGCCAATAGAAAATCCTGAAAATTTTATTGAATTATCTCATTGCATTTCAGAGTTACGGGCATTTGAAATTTTGGGGACAACACCCCTTTTAGCGACACACGAAACACCAAAATTACAAATATCCTTGGCTCTACTTATCCTAAATCAAATTCGAAATACTTACAACCAAAGCTTTTCCATTACTTTGTTGACAAGCTCTTCCATTAAATATTCTAAGGTGACAAAATTCATCAAAATTATCCAGAAGGATAAAAATGGCAAACAATTTATAAACTTTTCATTATACTTTCAATGAGGCAAAATTCAAGCGCATTATTAAAGAATGCATGACATTTAGTGCTCTATATTCTGGGTATATTGTATAAAATATCCTGTATTATAATATTCTCTAATATTTTGTATTCCCTTATTTGATCAAACACAGGGAGTCAGCAAAAAGATTGGGTGTGGACACGGGCGTGGCATCTAGAGGCTGTCTACAACACAGCCAACCATCTAACGTTTTAGGATGGCACCACTGTAAATGTGTACTCGTTATGAGAATAATTAATAAATATTACTAAAAGCAGGAGTGGAACAAGGCAACTTTCTGATGAACTGGCTGACTAATCATTAGTAATGTGGCGAAGAAAGGTAACTGTATCTTAGTCTATCAAAAAATATCAAAAAAATTGAGTGAAAAGGACATTTGATGAAATGAAAAAAAATCGAATCGTTTGGCCACCTTGTCGAGTGAATCAAGTGAGTGTGTGCGCAGTTTTCATCTCTTATGCTGGGCAGGGAAGCATACTACCCTGGGGCCTGGAGGTCCAGGGGACCTTCTCAAGTGATGAATTCCATTTTAAGAATGGAATTAATCAAAAGAAACAAAATTATTCCTGAAAATAGTAATTTGCTTAAACGAAATAAGTAGTTAAAGGGGGTTCCTGCATGAAACGAACGAACAGGGTCTTATGTCGCTCGAGTTCATCAAGAGATTGTAAAAGGATATTTGCACGTAAGATAAACATGGCAGCCAATTTGTGTTTCTTTGCCTCCATTTTGTTGGCGTGAGTGAAAAGTCGTGTAAAAAATCGAGCGAAAGATTGAATCATTTGGCCAAGGCTTAAAAGAAAATATTGTTTATCTGTCTGTTTTTATCTTTCTCTGTCACACTTTTCTTGCAATTTTTCATTTGACAATTTTTTATGTTGTATTAAATGCTGCCCTCTCATTAACGCCCCTCTCTGTTTGATGTGGCAGTGTTCTTAAGAGGAAATATGGTAAGACTCTTGCTAGATTCAAAGATTTTAAATCAAGGAAAATTAATAAAAGACTCTTACATGAACTTATAAACAAGCTGAATACAACTGAGCAGACAGATATAAATAAAATTCAGATCTAAACTCCGCAAAAAAACCACTCTTAAAAATTTAAAAATACCTTCTGAATCAGGATCTACCACTTCCAAGAAATTTGCCATGCGTACAAGAAGCTGGGCATTAGTCCTCAGTTGGTTTCTGGCATACTCTGCTTCAAATGTCCAAGCATGGTCAACAAGAAACACACTAGAAAGATACTAAATGTAGTAGAATAACACAGTTTAAAAACCTGCTTTTATGTAATTGACTCTAAACAACCACCTCCCCCATAAGATTAAAAATCAAACAAGGATATAGCCTTGAAAAGTATAAGATGTTTCTGCCCCCTGTCTGAAGGCCAAGTACTTCTTTCTCTGGCTCCTTGCAGAATGAAACAATTACATGCATGGAAGCTTATTTTGTGTTTGTTGAGAATACAATCTTTAGCTTTACAATGAACAAAGCAATGACACATTGTAGTTCTTTTCATACAAAGTGCAAACATGCATTGTTTTTATTATACAATAGATTTCTTAACAAAGATTTGTTTACGCATGTATGCATGTTTTGCTGTTGGTAGTTGGTTGAGTTATAAAACGGTGAATTTGATATTACGAAATGGAACTCATTACTAAACGTCTTCTATTAGAATGATCTCAGGGCAACGATTTTTAACAGTGTTGATTAACTATCAATTAACTATCAAGATGTGAATCTGTTTCAGAGCCTGACTCTTGACCAATAAAGTTATAGTTTGAATCTCTCATCCTATTCTAGTTGATAAAGTAGCAATTTTGACACATACCCATTTGAATCATCAAGCTTTAAGCCATTTTCATTAGACACAAGGACATGCCAGTTTTCATCTTCATCTTTTGCCATGTTGAAGTATGAGCCTGCATCGTATATCTAGTAAGAAGCTTGAATCAAAAACTTGCTAAGAAACATGCGAATGAAGGATAAGTCACTGTTACTATATAAAGCCTTGTTTGTTATTTTATTCCTAGTACACAACATGGCTGAAGACACAAATCATATTAGGGGCACATACATGGAGCCATAGTAATCTATAATCTAAGTATGCCTAGTGTAGTCTAATGTAGCTACAAGCAGCTGGAGTTTTTAAGTATATAAGATGTTGCTCTGCCCTTTGACTTTGACAAGCTATGTCAAGCCACTATTGTAATGGTTAATGGTTTCCCAGGGTGAAATCCATATGAAGCTTACACCGGATATACGCCAATAAACAAAAAAGACAATAGGAAATTGTTAGTCTTCGCCAGATATCTCCAGTGTAAGCTACATTGATTCCATACTGGATGGTTTCTATGGTTCTACTGGTTAAGGTGATATCTATCAATGTAAAGTCTTAATTATGCAACAAAAAATTGTTTGTTACCATTTCATGATGTCAAAATTATTTTCATAATTCCTTTGTCTTTGATTATTATTTGATGCAATGTTTCTGAGTTGATCATCTCACCATCACTTTATACTTGTAGTTATTTTCCATGTTTTTTAATATATCGCTAAAAATTTGAAAAAATGCCTACTGGCATTATTATCATTTCAAGGAACTTCACTTTTATTTGTCTGTGTCGTTGATCTCTGGATCTAGATCTTTGCATTTGAAATAAATTAAAAGACAGAATAAAATGACAAAAAAAATTCAAAGTGGACACTAGAAACTTTTAAATGCTCTTTAGAAATGTCGGGCAAAAGTGTGTTGTCATGGGTAGGATGTAGTTTACATGAAAACTTTGCTGCGCGCCCGCAATATATTGCCCGCGCACACCTCTGCGCGCTTTTGCATATTGGCCGCGCAGAATCCCCTAGATCCCTTGACAATAGGATTTAACATTATTAACAATAAAAATAACTAAGAGTGCATGATTTCAGGCGCGCAGTCTCAAATTTTCAAAATAAACTTGCCCGCGCAAGAAGCAAAGTTTCCAGTCTGGATGACGACTCTCTGATTTTAATAAACATGAAAAAGAAAATAAGCAAGGAAACTAACGTCTGCTTTTATCTTCTCAAATATTCTTTCCCAATACTGAGGAGGTATTCCGGCATTAACGAGCTGCACTTTATGGAGTTGTTGGAAAACTTCGAAGTCCTGACAGGGTACACGGGTTTCGGCAGCCATGTTGAAACGAGCACATGCACAACTAAAACAACCTCCGCAGGGGACGTGAAGTCGCTGACAAATTTTTCTTCGAAAAGCTTTTCTTGTTATTTCTTAACTCCTTCAACACCGCATTGTTTTACAGGGCCTCCAACGAAGGGTCACCGGAGGCATGGCCCCCTCCACTTTTTTGCAACGCAAAAGAGCTTTCCTTAAACTCTTTTGTTATGGGTGTTAAGTTTTCCCTTGCAACCCCCCCCCCCCCTTCCCAAGCCGTGTCAGAACACATGTTCTTACGGGGCGTGGTTTGCTCAATTCTACCTTGAAAGTTTTTATAATACGAGAAAGATACTGGAGCTTATACGAAAAATCTTGACGAAATGTGCCGATTTCTCGAAATCAACGCTAGCAAGGAGTAAAACTCTACACACCGCAGTTAACAGAACCGATTCTCTGAAATCTTACTTTTACTTAAGTAAACCACCGTTACGAAAAAAGCCACCGTTACGAAATATGCTGCTTGAGGCTTGTCGCTTGTCCAAATATTTCAAAATAGATAAAAAAATACTAAAAAGGGATTTTCTAAGCCTGAAGGGCGTGGTCGAGGAAATTTGTTTTTGTCCACCCCAGTTTTATCGAGCTGGCGACGCCACTGTCCTCGAGACGAGAATTTGCTGCGAAATTGTACATTGATTTTCCAGAATACTCAACAGTAAGGCGCCCATTTTCAGAACTGCACGCATGGCGAATGTTCTTTGATTGTTTTTCTACAAATCAAGCAAATTTAACATGCTTTAACTGCTTATTAGGTGCTGCGAAAAAGTAGAACTCTTTTCTTCTTTCTTCCGAATTCGCTGCGAAACCAAAGCTGCGCATGCCTTTTTTGAGACCTTCATCAGCGATTTCGCTGCGAATTGCGCCTCGTGGAAATCTTATAAATGACCAAAAAATCAAACATGACCACTCTTCGTCGATCCTCTTTTACAGGTTTTGCAACGTAGGCAGTTCAAAATATAAGTAATACAAATAGTTAATGCAATTTTGTTTCTCTTGCGCTGTATCACGAACTGATCACTCAAATGTTTTAGAAGAAGTTCCAGCCATTTTATTTTTTTGGGTTGAGATTTTTATTAGCCAACCAGTAGAGCATAGCAACAGATATGGAGAGGAATGAAGCAACAAAATACTCCAGTTCGAAGAACATCACAGTTGACTTTTCTTGCACCTTACATCCAAGTATTTTGATCACAGAACCAAAACCAAAGACAGAAATGTAAATTCTAAAACAGAGCTTTCCTACTCAACTAAGTTGCAAGCGAATTTTACTGCAGTTTGCCATTTACTCTACACGTGATATTAAAACATTACAACACACTTCTATGGCTACTACCACAACAAAAGTATATCTAAAACAAAACTCTGCCATACTTATTGAGTAGTATAACACTGGGATGAAATCTGGCTGTAGCCGCAAAAGTGTGACAATTTATTAAGAAGGAACATGGCAATTGGCTGACATTAATGTACTTAATGTGACATCTAAATATAGGATAATTCTGTTTAAATACACAACAACATTGTCTGTAAGCTTCAAAAACGGAGGAGCATAAAAATTATTTGCTGTTTTTTGCTTTAATTTATCTATAAAAGTGTTTTTGAATATCATTACATAATTGCTTGTATAACTGAAATACTTTGGCAATAATCTATCTGATGAGATGGATGGGATAGTTTGCAACAGGAAGAAGTTTCTCACATTAAACTGTACTCATGTTCAATTTTATACAAAGTGGCAATTCTTATTTGGGGCAAACTTCTGCCTTCCCAATATCTGATAAACTGAAAACATACAAAAACTATACTTTACTGAAAGCAACAAATTTGAGAAATTATCAGCAGAGACTTATCAGCTGACTGTTGCATTCTAGCCAAGCACTATAAACATGATTAATTAAGTCAGCCTGGCTTCTTTGACACAAATTTAGTGTATTACAAAGCATGCAAATTCAGATGTCTCTATGTCCCATGCTTGTAAAACACTAGCAATATGAAAAGAATACACAGTCTCATTTCAACTTGCATGAAGTCCCGTTAACAAAGCAGCAAATCCTGTGCTTCACTGTTGTAATATTCTGCAAATAATTGAGTGAAGTTAATACTGTATAGCAGATGCCTAAAATAATTCTTAAGCTGGGCAGGCAATCCCCCCTTTCTTTACTGAAGATTGGGGAACTCTTCATCATAACGGTCCGCATTTCCTCCTTCCTTCTCTACAAACCCAGCTTTATCGTCACCTCTTTCACCACCATCTCTCCCTCCTTTCCTTGGCAGTCCACGACTACCCCTGCTACCCCTTCCTCCTCTTCTATTTCCACGTTGACCTCCACTTGTTAACCTTGAGTCAACTGCTGCATATTTGAGATCAAAGGGTAGAATCTCCTTCACTCTTCCAGAGGTCTTGAATTTTTCTTCAATGATCTAAAAACAAATAAGATCATAGTTAAAATGCTCATGAGTATTTGTGGTTCATGGTGATCATCATAAAACCCTACTATTGTCCCACAATGTCTTCTCAGAAAAGTGCCTTTAAGATTGAATCATTGCATTTCATACGGTAATTCCAACTAGAAAAATCATCATTGAAGACATCAAACAAAGTACAGTATAGGAAAATCCTGGCCACTGAAAACCTCAGTGCATGCTTTAAGACATACATGCACCTTGAGATACACATCTCACTAAATGCACCATTCTGAAAGGTTCATTTGGTCATATCAAGCAACACTCATATATTCACATCAATATGAATCAAATTTTAGATGGACTTTCAAATGCTATAGATATGCTCCTGCTACAACTTTTGAAACAACCATTCCTTACATTTAGAGCTTAAAATGAAGACTACAGAACAGAATCACAAAGCTTTTTAGGTGAATTAACATTAAACAATTACAAGCATGAAATTTTGCATGGACATACTGGCGAGATATTCGTGTTTATAAGACACATGACCTATCTTTATTTCTCAACATTTATGTATAGAAAATAACATACAAAACTATCACACTGCCAATACTAAAGCATTTAGATTTATTTGTATGCAACAGCCTTCATTATTCAAACAAGTTTTGAAGTCTAAAGTAAAGAAATAATTTTTCTTACTCGTTTTGGGAAGAACAATGAGTCATCTGATTCCTGTTCATTTTCTGTTAACTTCTTTAGGGTGACAGCATTCTTTGGAAAGGCCTTTTCTCCTTCATTAGCCTGTCTTACATTGTATGCAACTTGAGGTTTCTCTTTCTCCAGCAATGACTTGTATTCATCCAATGTCATCTCTTTGACTTCCTCCTCCTTTGGCCCATCCTCTCCTGCAGCTCCAGCACTTTATTGGAAACAAAGGTTGTTAAATTTTCAATGAAATTCTTCTTTAAGAAAAAGCACTTTATGCAGAGTGAAGAACAAATTTTGCAGTAATGCCATAACAAAAATGTCCTCTCAGACAGGTGCCTAAAGGTTTTAATCACTATAGACTATTCATTCGGTAATTCCAACAGAAAAATCATCACAGAGGACATACGTCTGGGCAAAGCAAAGTTACAATGAACAATATCTACACGATTGAAGAATTATAAAAAACTGGCTACCAAGCAGCAGACTTCATTGGTCTTGCCTCATCTACTTAGAGAAAAACATGCTGACTATGAGGATGGATAAGACTGGGAGCCATTTTTCAACAACACTAACCTTTCCTCATTAGTTTCTGACTGCTCTGCTGCGTCCGCCCAAGATCCTTTAACTTCCTCATCCATTGGAGTAACAACATTTGCTTCCTCACTTAAATAAAAGTAATAAAATTTGTTTTGTATCTGTAAGGGCATTTTAGAAGACTAACAAATTGAACTTAAATAACCCTTAATTTCCCTATTTCTGAGGTGGGCCCAACTGTGTACTTGTACTCAATGCAGCTTTGGTTGTTCTGTTTTCATGTTGTTTACAATGAAGAACGCAACTAAACCACAAAAAATTTGCCAATATAAAGGTAATCAGACTTCTGGCTTTTTCAAAACTCCTCAACGGGGGCAGTGACATGGAAGTAGCTGTTCTGAACAACTCATGCACAAATGTGTAGTTAGATCTTTGAAGGAATTTTATGTCCTTTATAGTGGTGATAGGCTATAAGCATCGAGAAAAGAAAATAAAGCATCCACAAGATCAGTTAATAGTGGTCTCCTGCATACTTTAGCAACAATAACACTAAAATCGAGAATTTTCCAGAACTCAGGCCAATGCAAGGCAAGTTTTTCCTTGCCATGATTGCATAATTTCCTTACAAAACACATAGTATTTATTGGTTTACATGATTTTAACACAAACTTGATTGTAAACAACCCATGAAATTAAAACAACTAAACACTGCAGAAAGTATATATTTAGCACAATTCATTATCTTGCTCATGGAAATTATACAATGTGAGGCAGCATTGCCATTCAGACCCTAGTTTTATAAAACCAAGAATAAGATCACAAAAATGCAACCATAAGTTAAAGTTTTATTTAACATATATATACATAATGGAAGTTACCTTTTCTAAAACATGACAGAATTTCTCAGTTCAAGTCTAAATTCTTAAGGAACCACAGAAAAGCTGAAAAACTGTAGAATGTGCAACCATGTTTCTTACTTAAGTGTTGATAAAATCCCCTCAGAAACAGCCATTAAAAGGTTATAATCATGTTTGATCATACGGTAATTCCAAGTAAACAATTCATCATTGGGGATAACTTTCTCAATTTGCCAATTTAACCCTAGATTCACAAAATTGCCATCATTTCACAGATGAACCATGAGTTAATCTCAGCCTTTGGTAACATGCAATGTAAAACTATATTTATTAGCTTGCCTAAACCAAATCATTAAAATGATCAGCCCTAAAAGGAAGAAACTTACCTTGCTTCAATTTCATCCTGTGCAGTTCCCCAGTTGTATGATCCGGATCCATCTCGTTTGTCAGTTGCTTTTACGGAACTGGAAGCATAACTATTGATCATTTAAAAAACTGTAGAATGTGGAATTGAAAAAACCATACATACTTTTCAAATTTTTACTTTGTTGATAAAATCCCCTCAGAAACAGCCGTTAAAGATTATAATCATGTCAAATCATACGGTAATTCCAAGTAAACAATTCATCATTGGGGATAACTAAATATATATATATATACATTTATAAATATATATAAATAAGCATTTCAGGTAAAATGCTCTCGTCTTTGTAATGGAAAAACTGCAAACTTTACCATACCCGACAAGTTAAAGGTTTTTCTTGTGGTTGCTTTAATTTGAAATGGTTTTCCACCCTATCTGTGCTTTGGCTTAGAAATACAACAAAATAATGTTTTTACCTTAAGTTTCATTAGTTTCAGTTTCATTTGTCTAGATATCAATCAACCTATTTACAATTCTACACACTAACAATACAATTGAATACAAATATATATATATAATACTAAAATTTGATACATCAAGACACTAAATTAAAGAGAGGACATTATATGAACCAAAAATCATGTTAGAAGTCAACAAACTTTTTCAGTATCACTCCAGTGGTTATCAAACTTGTGAAGTCATTGTCTTCATAAGCACGATACTTTCATCAAATCTTGGAAGCTATGTCTAAATAATAACCTGATGCAATATCACAGATCAATAAGAAAATAAAATCTTGGTGTAATATAACTAATCTTACCTTCTGTCACTTCCACTGTGCCTGTCAAACTCCCGTCCTCTTCCACCTCTTCCCCTTGCTCTCCCCCTTGGCCTTCCTCGACCACCGCGTCTTCCAAAACCATCATCATGCTGTTCAACTGAATCTCCTGTGTTTCCAAAGCTCCTCCTTTCGCCACTTCCTTCATTTTCACTGCCAAATGGCTTTTTTTCTCCAAAGTTCTGTCTGTCTCCAAAGTTCTGTCTGTCTCCAAAGTTCTGTCTGTCTCCAAAGTTCTGTCTGTCTCCAAAGTTCTGTCTGTCTCCAAAGCCCCTTCTCTCTCCACCAAAGCCTCTCCTCTCTCTTCTTTCTCCAAAACCACCTCTTCTTTCTCCGAATGTTCGTCGTTCACCTTTCTGCTCGCCATCAACCTGACTGTCCTGGTGTTCTTTTTGATAACCATCTCCACGCCCTTCTCTTGGGGGTCTATCTCCTCCAACCCCTCTTCCTCTACCTCTGCCTCGCCCTCCTCGTCCTCTTCCTCCACGACCTCTTTGCTCTCCCCTTTCTTGCTTTTCACCTTTGTCAGCCCTAACACCTATAAAGATGATGCTTTATGATCATCACTGGGTAGCAACTTCTCTTAAAGGCTCTTGAACAACCGGCACGCTTTGTGACTATAATTAAAAATACTGGCCTAATATCGTACTGCATGAAATTACAAAACAGAGGCAATTTCTCAAGACAACGGTCCCTTAGCATACTGGTTGTGCAAGAGACTTCAACACAGCATTATGTGCAGTCTAAGGAAATGACATATCTCAGAAGTGGTTTTTTAAAAGATTTTGAATAAATTCATAGGATCAGCGCATACACCCATTTTGATTGGCAACTTTTTGTAAATTCTCATGGAAACAAGAAAGCAATTCTTATAATTGTTAATTAATTTCAAAACAAAGCTTGTTAGAGCATTTACAATATTCAAACATTAATAAGGTTTATACATTCAGAGCATCATCACACAATGTTCAATTGAAATAAAACAAGTCGAAAAAAGTATGAGTATCCTGAAAATTTCCTTGGCCAGGATAAAGATAAACTTGTTTTAAAGTATTGTTTTAGAGTTGGACTTGATTGTGCAATGATTGTGCTTTAGGTTAAATTCAGTCACTCACCCACCAGCACTTTTGTGGAAAAAAATATTCATCGAGAGTTTTCAAAAAAGGTTTATGCTTACTCTGTTACTTTCAAAAGAAACTTTTCTCTTCACCATTCAATGTTGAATGCGTGTTTTTAAAACAAAAATTGAAAGAACTACAAATTTGACATTGATGCAGAGAAAAGGGGGCTAATACGAATATGCAGGGACAAGCCTAATGTTTTGAGAAGATGATGTCACATTTTCCTGTTTTTATAGAACAAAACACCATTGTCCTCTAAAACAATGGCAACTGCCCTCTTTGCCCACCTCCCAAAGGTGTCCACCACTGCAAGCAAGAGTTCAAGGAATGTTTTTAATGTGATTAGAAACAATTCAATTTCTCATGCAAACAAAGTAGTCTATTTTTGATCTTATTTTCGATCTTATTTTCAGGCAGCCCATCAAGGACAACTCTTTCCAGTATCCTTTTCCTTGTCAAGATTTACAATCAGCATTTACTGTGGCAAAAAGGAGTATATACAATTTAGTTGGAACACAAAGAAATGAACAAACTTCTTTAAAAAAATTGCAATGTCCCCTTAGACAGTATTGAAGTATGTTGCTTCTATGAATAAAGATACACACCATAAAAGCTCTATTTAGCCCCCCTCTCAATCAAGCCCCCCTCTCAATCAAGCGCCCCTCTCAATCAAGCCCCACTCTTCTCCGACTGAGATTTGATGTTTCAATAATATAAATATAAACCAAAAAATACTCATTCACACTGATTATTCTGAATTAACACCCCTTTCTTGCCCTATTTAAGCTATTTAAGCTATTATCACTCTTACTTCTATTAGAATACTATAAACTTTCTCCAGCCTCCATATTCTTAACAAATTTTTGTTTTGTGTTTGAGTATATATTTATTCTTACAGTATTCTTATTCTTTTCAAATCTGTTATAGTTTTATGAGAACATGCTAGCACACTAGCTGGTGTCGTTCTGTGATTCTATCTTATGAGCATTGTAAAACAGGCAACAGTTGAAAACAGGAACACAAATATGCAATATCATTTTAATATTCTTAAAAATTGTATAAATCTCAGCTTGAGAATATTCAAAACAATATTATTATTAAAAGAGAGTGCAATACATAATACTCCAATTGATGATAAATATATACGGAACTCTTAGGATTGTCTCTCAGGAAAATAACACAATTATTAATAGATCACGCAGTCTGTCTTACGTATAATCTTGCTGAAAGCGTAATGGGAAACAAAGCACTATCTTTTTCACCACGCTGCTGTAAAGGAATGTTATAGGAGCATCCATAGGTACATAACCAAAGACTCTACTTCCTCGATATGTAACACTAAATATGACTACCCTGCCACAAATATTCTGTTCAACTTTTAAAAATTCATTTAAACAGAGCGTTTTTCCAAGTTGAAATACATGTCTTTTTCGTTTGACTGGCGACCTTTTTATTCCTCCACGCACATGTATTTTAGGCCCAAGGTAAGAGCCCTGGCAAAAACCTTAGGTCGTCAAATTCTTTTGGTACCGTGATTAAGATTTTCTCAAAAATAAAAGATAAAACGAAACCAGATTTGGGCTTAACTTGCACTGAGTTTCGACAGCCCTCTGTAGCAGGGGATCCAACGCCGAAATGTTAGCTCGATACCTGCAGAAGACGCGACGAGACAACCATACCTTTGAACATAAGCGTTGGTTTTAAAATAATCATACGATTTTGCAACTTTACAAAATAAAGTGCTACCAAGATATCGATATGCATCATCTAGAAAACGTTAGCCAAAAGAAGTCGCTTGCAAATAACACGGAAGGCCACCATTTGAAGCGGTGACGACATTTGGCAAGCGTGCTAGAGAAGCACGTGTATGCCAATAGCTGCAAGTGAGGCATATGCGATACACATTTCATATCATAATGGTTAAAGTTCTTACCTTCTTTCTTGATATCTTCAATTACTGGTTCTTTCATCGCTATAACCTGAGATTTCTCTTGAGTCTTCGCACCACCCTTGACGCCTTTCGCCTTTTTGTCGGCCTTTAGGACCTTCTCCTTCTGTTGAGCCCTCTGAATAAATTCAAGGGGATCATCTGCCTCAATATCTAGGCCAGCAAACCTATTACCAACGACAATACCGTACTCTGTTTCGTTCTCCATTGCAGGCATCGTTGCTGCTTCGATGATGAAGGATTTCAATTAAGCTTTCCCACTCAACATGAAGACCACCATTTGCTTCACTCCACTACGCAAGAGCTGGGCTTGACAAGATCCCCTCAATGCATTTTGGGATGTTACGCGCCTTCCTAAGAGGCTGAAAATTGCCCTCGTCTTCCCGCCACAGTTCGAGTTCGAATCGAATACCGTCCTCGCAATTGCCCCCCCCCCCCCCCTCCTTTAATTTGAGACCTTTCGGAAATGCAACAGATTTCAATCGATTTAGAACATGTTAAAGTTATTTTATGGTGTTTCTGTAGGAAATTCTAGTCACATTCAAGGTAAACTGATTCAAACCAACATAAGTTGATTTATATCGTCACAATTTAGCCACACTGCCGACACCCACAAAATAGATGTATTTTTTAATTTCATTTAATTTCATTTTAAACATATTTATACAGGGTAACAATTTAGTGTAGAAATCTGTTTTACAATTGGCCCTGCGAAAAAATACCTAATAACACCGAGTTACTTTAATTGAATATAAAAGTACACAATAATACAAGCTAAAAGAATAAAAAGAAAGACAGAGAAACGGAAAAAAGGACGAATTTGTCCATGTTAGAGACCCTTGTAAGTTTTAAGTCTCGATTTAAAGCAATGGATGGAGGATGCCAATTATGATTCTAAGTCAAGACCATTCCAAACTTTTGCACCACGATAAGCGGAGGATTGTTGTCCGTAGGATGTTCTCATTCGGGGTAATAGCAGGCCAGTCTTTGAGTTAAGAAGACCGCGATTATGACAGTTTAGAAAAGTACCCACTAAGGTATACTGGGGCTAGATTGTTCAGAAATGTAAAGGCCATAGTTGAAGTTTCACGGTGAATAAGTGTCTCGACTGTAAACCGTCCTAAAACTTGAATCAAAGGTGCTGCAGATGTACCAAAATCACTGCTTGTTACTATTCTCGCTGTCCTGTTTTGGAGCTTTTGTAATTTATTCATTCTGGTGGTCCCACAGGAGTCCCATACGGAGCAACAGTAGTTAAAATGAGGCTCCATTATACCCTTATACATATCATTTAGTGTGCTATGTGAAACACATCGTTTAGCGTATTTCAACAGGCCAAGAGCCCACGGAATCTTAGTTTGGATGTTCTTGATTTGGCTATCCTATTTAAAGTTATCATCAACCATTATGCCAAGATATTTAGTTTCGTTCACAAACCCAATATCATCATTTCCTACGTTGAAACTTGGATTAACAGATAATTATTTCTTTATATGGCTTAGTTTTTGATTTGAGCTAATTATCATTGCTTTAGTTTTAATAACGTTCAATGAGAGTTTATTACCGCGAAGCCATTCATTGAGACTTGCAAGTTCTGCGTTGACAATAGCATTCAAATCCTCCTTATTATCAGAGGCGTAACATGTGGTTGTATCATCAGCATATATTGTAGCAAGGGTTTTTTCAGTGCAAAGGGCAGATCATTTATAAAAAATAAAAAGAGGAGAGGTCCAAGGCACGAATCCTGTGGTACTCCTATTTCTATGGCCTGAGTTTCAGAAGAGATACCATTGACATTGCAGAACTGCTTACGATTATTTAAATAGGAACGGAACCAATCATGTTCTATGTCTTTGATGCCATAGTGAAGCATTTTCGCTAAGAGTATATCATGATCAACAGTGTCGAACGTCTTTTTTAGATCAATGAATATTACAGCGTGGACTTTACTATTATCGATGTTAACGTACCAGTCATGAGTGGATTTAAGCAAACATGCTACGACCGAGTGTAAAGCTCGAAAACTCGACTGATGCATGTACGGATGTTTGTTTCTATCAAGGTGATTATATAGCTGCTCATATACTAGTTTTTCAAACAGCCTAGATACAACAGGAAGAGCGGAGATAGGTCTGTAGTTAGACCGATCGTTACGCTCTCCACTCTTGAAAATAGGTGCAACACGTGTCCAACTATCAGGAAATTTTCCGGTTTTAATGAAAAGTCGAAGATACGGCAAAGAGATCGTGAAATTAAAGGAAAAGCAACATTGATAAAATGACTGGCTATACCGTCAGACCCGAATCCAAATGATTTCTTCATTTCACCAAAGGCCCTTTCGGCATTTGCAGCATCAATGGCATTAAACTCAAAATTGGTAGTGTTCTCATTAATCGTGTACTCGTTAGACATAAGTGGGTTAGGTTGCGGCGGTACTTTATCTCGAAGCTTTTTACCGACACCTCAAAAATAATCATTCATAGCTCAGGAGACTTCAGCTGGTTCATTAATCTCGTGGTCATCTACTTTTACGCTGTCGATGTTTGTTGTATTTTATCTCTTATTGAACAATTGATTAATGGTTCTCCTAGAGTTCTTTAAACTGTCTCTATAAGAAGCAATTTTATTAGAGAAATAGTCTCTCTTCAGTTGTTTGTTGAGATTGTAAAGCTTATTTTTCAAATGCTTGTAGAAATTCATAAGAAAAGATGACTTATTTTTTACTACTGCAATCTTTAGTTTCCTCGAGCGAGCTAACTTTTTGAACTCAGTGGTCAACCAAGGGGTGACTTTGTCCGAAACACTCATAGTTCAGAAATAACCTAGGGATTTCACATTCACAGCAAAAAATATATGCTCAATTTTTCATAGTTCTTAATTTCACAGGAACATGAACAAATCGATACAAGTATGATCTCAAAAATGATGTAAGGAAATCATTTAGGAATTTCTCAGCAAACAATATATTCTCAATTTTTTACAGTTCTTAATTTTACAGAAACGTAATAAATCTATCGTCGACTCCTCTCATTGTCACACTGAATGTTTTCCAGAAAAAATGTGACTTAAATTTGAGTGTGACATTCAGCAGAGTTACCTAAAACAGTCAAAAAAGTGGCAGGAAATTCAGGGGCGGATCCAGAGCAAATTTGAAAGAGGGGCAGTCTGTAGTGGGGGCGCTGAAAAATTTTCAAAAATTGGTGACGAGAGTACGCTTTATACAACAATTTCAGTCCCATTTTCAGATTAAGCAACATAACTTTGAGGTAATCCTTGGAAGTTAATGAACCTATCGGTCTCAGAAACCTTTTCACCTGATTCTCTTTCTTCAAAAAGGGTACACAATCTCCAAAAAAGGGGTGCCAGACTTGCTTCAACTCGTCGAGGGAGGGGTAACTCCCCCTAGTTGCCCCCCTTAAATCCACCATTGAGGAAATTGGCGGTGGTGGTCCTACGTTGGCAAATGAACTGTTTTCAAGCATTCCAACAATAACATTCAATGTTGTCTAGCCTTCAGCCTCCGTGTGGTCTATGAAAAACAGTTTCAGTACAGAGAGGTTAAACATGCAAAATACTAAAAGCAACATTGTTCTAGTGCAGTTTCTTGTATTGTTTGAAGTACAGTTTTGAAAATTATTGAGAGGGGTTTATTCCCTGTTCAAAGCCCTTTGATGCAAGAGAATAAAGCAAAATGATATAGCGATAGTATGTAGGATGCATACTGTGTGATAGGCAACTTTTTTATGATATTTTGCGTTGATCTCATTGAATTATAAAAGTTATAGAATTTTTCCAGTCTACCGTAAGGAAATGATCAAAAATAGGGGAAACTGCGAACAGAAAAATTCATAGACAGGAAAAGTAGATTTTTTAGGTATAAATGCTAAAAATGCTAAGTAGAAGAACTTATTGTGTAAATGTGACGGTAAACAGAGTGTTCTGCTGTTTGGGAAGAAAACAGTTGTGAGCATAAACAGAGTGTAATAAAGTGGGGGTGACTCAGGGCCTATTATAGTGTGCAGTATTACACACTTTGTGCAGTATTAATTGCCCGCAACTCGCGCGCGATAGCGCGCGAGTGAAGGGCTTATAGTCTGCCCCGCGTATAAGTAGCATATGGAAGCTTCAGTTCATGTTGTCAGCACTTTTTCAGCAGATTTTGTCACTTTTCTGCTGCCATGACAACTGTCAATCAATTTCATTGTCAATCAATCGGCTTTGTCGAGGAGGTCGTTAACCGCCACCTCTTTGTGCGGAAGGGAATTATCTTCGGAGCGTTGCTCTGCCAAGACTCTGTTAAAGGCCTTCGGTTTTTTGGCACGAAAACGGTGCTGCATTACAGCTCTGTTCTCCGCAATGGATGGAAGTTTTGATTCGAAGTTTTGGGAATCAAAACCAGTCGAATGCCGCACTTTTCTCCCAAAAGCTCGAGACCGTACGAGCAAAAGTTATGATTGTTGGCACGAAAACGGTGCTGCATCACAGCTCTGTTCTCCGCAATGGATGGAAGTTTTGATTCGAAGTTTTGGGAATCAAAACCAGTCGAATGCCACACTTTTCTCCCAAAAACTCGAGACCGTACGAGCAAAAGTTATGATTGTCGTGATTATCGAAAAATAAATGTCAAACCCTTGAAAAACTTCATGATTTTCAAAAGGGCGTTGGACTTAAATCAAAGGCAAACTGAACACCAAAAATTCTTGATAAAAAGAATAGTTTAGCATCAACTAGAGCAGCTGTTTTTATAGAATTGTGAAAACCCAAGATGGTGTCTTCTTCGAATATCCTGACCTACATTTTCAAAACAATCATTATCAAGGAACTAATTGTTTGCGGGCAGTACTAGCAAGAGCTATTTCTAGTTTAAAAACGTGCAGTATTGATTTCGAAAATGTACAGTATTGAATTTTGGGATTTGTGAAAATGTCTTTTTGCGGCTATCCCAGATTCCTGCTTTGTCACAAAATGTGAATTTTCCTCGTCACTTCGATATAGAGTTCATGTTTTGTAATTCTCGTATAACCATCGGAAAGACTCTCTTATCAAAACTTAAAACAAATCGAATTTCCCAGAACCAAAAACAAAACATCTCCTGTAAATGTCAGCATTGCTGTAAATTTCGTAATTTTATTTTGTCGAAGATAAAACATTCAGTAATAATTTATCAGTTGCCCTATCATGCTCTGGGCATCTAGCAGAAGCTCACTTAACTTAACTAAAATAAATATAAATTTCCTCGCTACACTTGCATGGCTAAGATACCTGGGGTTTGCACTGATTGCAACAATAAAATTACCTATAAAAGATATGATTATAAATGTGCAGTATTGAAAATTTCTTAAAAATGTGCAGTATGTAAGAAATTTTTCAAAAATAAATAAGCGGGGGGGGGGGGATCCTAGTAAGTGAGGGGGGTCGGAAATGTGAAAAATCTGAAAAATCGCGTGTTGATTCTTTTCTGGGTTCATTCGAGATTTTCGTCTGAATACAATCGATATCAAAATGACAATTATGACCATGTTATAATGCCTTGTTGTATTACTAAAATGAGCAGGCTAATTATCATTGTGTACATCAGCCAGGCCTGTGTAAATTTTTTCGGATGTTATACTACTTTTCTATGTTAAAACTTTTTTACACTGCAACCTCTTCATTTAAGAGAAACTTTACAGAAATTTTACACCCGAAAGAACAAAGGACAAATGAAATAAGGGATATGAATGATTGCATATAAAAAATGATTTTTGTGGTCAAATACCTTACAAATTTCAAATTTTATTTCTCTGTTAAATCTATAATACAAGAAAAGCAATATGAAAACTTATTTATGGCCAAAAATTAAGCCAATGTCAAGGGCGTGTTCGCAAAATTTTTCTTCTCGTTTCCCTTGCAAGGGGCTCCGCTTCGTATGTGTCACATAATTATGACACTTACAAATGGCATAGCTTATTTATTCAAACTTTAATAACAACAAGAGGCGTTTGCAAAACAACTCCCGTGGGTAGACTTCTGGACCCTTACATTTACGTTCATATATGCACCCATTCCTCCCCACCCTGGCTACTCCCCTGACTGATGCTTATGCTTTTTTTATTTGAAAATGGAACAACATTAAACAATTTGAGGTACATAAAACCAATACCCTGGAAAACGGCACATCCCCGTCAGAAAATTCTACTTACTGCATATTCTCCTGTGTGAGTAGCTGGTGGTGTGACGTGCCTCTAAACTTTAGGCCAGCTGGCGGTAGGAATCGGACACTGAAATTGCTTGCGTGAAACATATGGTGCGAAACATAAAAATTAAACAAAATCCCTTACCTTACATTGCATTTTTCGAACCCTGTCTCACACAATATTAAGCTCCATTTTAAGGACATGCCCTGTTCTCTTTGGAAAATACATGTCCCTTCAAAATAAGAAAAACCTCAAACCACTGCCTTGCTTTTTCCCAAAACCTTGAGCTCCTTGAAGTTTGACTAATTTCATGACGATACGCTCAATGTTTGAAATTAAAAAAACCATTGAGACAAGTGGCATAATCATGGTTTCCAAACTGCTAAGTTATTCAAAAAATTATAAATTCCCCAAACCATAGTGTTGGCCTTCCACAAAAACACAAACATAGTTTAAATAACAAAGTTTCAAGAATACAGCCTTGGCACAAATTTCCCCCAAAATATATGTTCCAATGTTATGGCCCTAACACTTTCTTAGGCAATGCTACAATTCAATGCCCTAAAAATTATCATTTATGCTGGTGTCTGCTTTGCTATCCTTGTTAGTGTTTGCTATTTATGGTTAAGGGCTAGTTTAACAACAGACTGGTGCTTGTTCTCTTATTGAACAAAATTATTTTCTCAAAAACACAAATTTACCAAGGGATAAAACACAATTTATTTTGCAGTACTTGTCTACATTAAATTTCAAGAAATAAACAAACCACTTTGGAGTAAACATGCTTTGTTTCAACAGCCATAGAGTCATAATGAAAATTTACTAGGCTCAAGAGGTTAGACAAGGCTATGGGAGGGTGGGCTCGGCTTAGGGGAGTTGGTGGACGTAATGATGACATCTGAATTGAATGCTTTGGTATAGACTCTGATTGAATCACCTGATGTTTTATTGTGGCAAGTAAGATGCAGCAAGCTAATGTATATATAATGTTTTTTTCTTGTAGGAGCTTGCCCTGACCAACTGGGTCTTTCAATGAAGCAGTTAAGAATTAAAAACCCAAAAGCCATTCCTCACAACTGCTACCTCCTGCCTTTGGCACTACTCATACTTGAAAGATATTGGCAAATTGTACATCTCAAAGGTAGAGTAAATTGATGAATGCTCCCCATTTTTTGCAGAGCTTTATTGTTGCTCCACAGAGCTACAAAAAGGCTATTTCACCTTGGCAATGAAGACTCCCACGGCATCCACAGGCAAATATTACAAAGACAAGGTTACCCAGACGTTTACACCATTTTTGCAAATGAAGTTAAATGAAACCTAATAAAAAATTCGTAATTTTAACAGCTACAATATATTATTGTGTTAAATCACATTTCATGGGCATGTCAATCACATGGATTTAATTGGCATGTCAAATATGATTGGATCGTTGACTTGCCGATAGCCAAGATTCACAGAAGATGCATTGATGTATGTTGTGACACCATCAGTAGTAATCCCATATCCTTCATGAATGTGTCCAAAGATATGGTACTTTGGTTTGACTCGGCTTTGAATGGTTGATAGAAGTTCTGCACATCCAGCTCTTGCTCCACTCTGGCACTTATCACCATGTCCCAGTGGTGGTTCCATGTGTTATCAAAATTTCAATATCATCTGGAATTTTCCTCCATTTCTCTAAGCAGTCAGGTCCTCTCCTAAGGTTGAAACCCCACCCACCAAATTCTGGTTGCCATGGTGTGCCATAAACTTTGATTCCTGCAATTTCAGTCCCATTGTCCTCAAGATAGGTGCATTTCTGTTGTAGAGAAGATTTGATTGCCTTCAGATCGAAGGTTTTGCCCTTGTGGAACATGGCAGCCACATCAATGGACGAGTAATTATCCGTGTCAAATGTCAGGTCGTGATTGCCTGCTATCACAACTATTTGCTGGAAACTAGGCCTAACTCTGTCTAGAAAAGATATAAAATGTTCCACCTCAGAAGGGGCGCCTACTTGAGTGAAGTCACCAGCATGTAGCAAAATATCCCCTTCCGGTAACTGCATTTCATCTGTTTTATTATGAGTATCTGAGATGCAAACAAATCGTAAATGATTTGCTTGTTTTTTCGTCTCATACTTTAACGGCTTTAATATTTTGAAGTGTTTCTTCCATTCCTTTTTAACAGAAATTCTGTTATACAATTCAGTTGGTTCGTGGGATAGATCGTTTACTTCAACATTCATCTTTGAAGCTGCTATTCTTACTGCATCATAGGCGATTTTCCTTTTATATGCTCGTCCTAACAACCATCCAAATGATTTCCTCTCTGGTCTGACTAGATACGGAAATAGAAACATCTTGTAATTGCCTCGACCGCAAGTTGTCTGTTGCTGAGTTGGCAAAAACTTTCTTGGCGATTTTAGGAGGGGCTTGGAAGACCAGAAAAATCTGTTTTTATTTTAGCGATTAAGTCTTTTCGTTGCCCGGGTTGATTGTCCCCTACCCTCGGTACCAGACTCACTCTGTTAAAAAGGTGTAAATTATGAGAGATTATTTTCTCGGGGGGGGGGGGGGGGGGGGTGATACCTTAACATGTTTGAAGGTACGGGGACGTGCCATTATTTAGGGGTACTTTTTTTTCGAAAAGTGCGGAATTATCGGTATCAGCTTTTGAAATTTGTGCGGAACTATATCATTTTGGGGAAATATTGTAAAATTATTAGGAAGGAGATTTAGTATTAACAAAATGAATGTCCAGTTAGAAATAAAATTGTGAAATATGTGTAATTTTGAGATTTTCGGGCATAGGACTGCAAAATTTGGTTAATGATTTTTTATGTGCTTTAAAAATTTTATTTGCTCTGCAGAATAATGGGTATAGTTTTCATCATGTTTGCGGAATTATGGATCACCTTTTTGAAGACATTTGCGGAATTATAGGTCCAAAATTTTAACCAAAGTGGCACGTCCTCGTCCAAAATTAGGCATAGTTTACCCCCCCCCCCGAGATTATTTTACATGAAGTGAGTCTGATATCCAGGGTAATTGTCCCCTTGCCCTCTCGAATTCTAGCAATTTTCTTTCTTTTGCTATTTTTGCACTTTTGGCCACTTTTAACCCCTTAACTTAATATATATCTTAAATAGAAAGTAATAGGATTGTTATGTTTTGTATACGTAGCTATTTTGTATATTACGTAATTGTCAGGAAATCCCCCTTGTGCAGTGGCGTACCAAAGGGGGGAAAAGGGGGGTCCGGACCCCCCCACTTTTCTAAAATATGGTCCTCGAGTATTATCCAAAAACGATGTAAAACTCATTGGGGGGGGGGGGTAGTATACTGTATGCTTGTGTCAATAACAATTGTAAAATACTCTGCTATTTACCGTAGCTAAAATAGGAACAATTTGCAAAAAGGGCGTTTCCCCGCATTTGCGAGTGTGTTGAAGGGCGTGGTCCAAAAAATTCTTGGGGCTACGCCCCAGACCCCCACTGCTGAAGCCCTGGGTACGCCACTGCCCTTCTGTCTCGAATGTTCTGGCTTCGCGACACAGCACTACGCAGCATTACACTGCATTCCATTTTATTGTTGTAGGATTACCAGTGGCGGCCTGGCCCTTTTCGCCTGGGAGGGGAGGGGGCGGGGGGCAGATTCAAAATGGCGCCCTCCATAACTAACACTATTGTCTTTTTCCTGAGAATATTGGCAGTACAGGGGCGGTTCCAAGAAATTCAAAGTGGGGAGGGGAGGCTCGAGTTAATAGCTTTATTTGACTACAGAACCAACATTGGGAAGGGCCGGCGAGAGGTTGTCGGAGGCCCTTGGTATAACTCTGAAGGGAAGAGGCTTTCTTGCGAGCGGAGCGAGCAGAAAATTTTTGCCACCACGCCCTTTAGATTGGCTTAAAATACATCTCAAAATATTATGAAGGCCAGCAGAGCCAAAGAGACTCATCGAAAATCAAACATTTCCCTGGAAGGGGGGCATGGGTCCGAACACCCTAAACACAGACTTTCCCCCGACACCCTAAACACAGTCTGTGTGCACTACGAATGCTGTGTTCTCCACACGAAAGAATTTAACTACGTATGTTTCCTGACAATCCTCTAAAAAATTGATTAATTTTTTCGCCCCTGCGAACTGTACACATTTTTTGTCTGGATAATACAGTAATGAAGGGGCGCAAAGACGTGCCCTTGAAGTGAGAATGTTCTAGGGGGTATGGGGGCGTGTGTCCCAATAAAGTTTTGAATTCTATGGCATCTTTTTTGTCTTTGCTGGTCTCCTAGAGACCTAATAACCAGACAAGTCGGTAGTATCAAACTTTTTTTGAGTTTTCGGCGCCCTATACAAGCTTTGGCGCCCCTATAAAAATGTCAGCTGGGGGGGGGGCTGGCCCCCCTGCCAGGCCGCCACTGAGGACTACCCCTCATTAAGATTACATCATATTGCGTATTCGTCTGTTTCTAGAATTATCTCGTAGTCTATTATTAGTAACATTTTATGCTTAGTTAAGCTTTTCTGTTACTTCCTTTTACATATAAATATACGTAGTTAGTTAGATTCGAAGAGATTCGAAGAGAGCTTTAGAAGGTATCAGACATGTAAGGCCAAACACCAGAAGGTAGCTAACCGTTTCGCCCAAGAGGCTTGCGAAAGCTCTTGCGGCCTAGTTTGGATTTAGGACAGGTAGTGCTTGAGACTGCGCTGTCCCTCGTTATATCTTTCATTGGATTGCTTTAAGTATTAAAGTTCGCGGAGAATCGTCGTCGTTCATGTTAGCTGTGTAGATTAAAGTTTAGCCTTGGAATCGTTATAAGATGGACATGGAAAGAAAGTATAGCCGCTCGCAGAAATCGTCATTCTCTAAAGCTTCAGTCTTCTCTCGCAGTATATCTCTCGATTTAAACATCCATTTTACAGAAGAACCAGACACGTACAAAGAAATGGATGCTACCAATGACATAATTTCCATCTTTGTGCCACCATTTGAGGGTAATTGTCAAGAATACAACCATCTGACGGTAATTTTTTAACATTATAGCTTTGGCCCTAATTGACCCTGACTGAACCCCCTTGTTAGGCCATAAAAGGAGTAACCCCCCGCCGGGCTTTAAGATTCAAGTTGGAAACAGAAGAAACATAAACAAGATTTTGGCTTCTTACGGCTTGTTTCTCAACATGCTTGAAGTAAACTTTTAGCTGGAACAAATACTTAAAACTGGAACGCTAGTGTTGAATTTAGGAACATGTAACGTGCAGTTCCATTTTGTCATTTAAAAATATGCATTTTGAAGAAAATTTCTTACATTTGTGCTGCAGTGACTATGATTGGGTTCCACAAATCGTTTCGTCGGTGAAAAAAAATAAAAGACATAGTTTGATTTTTGTTCAAGATTAACAAAGAGTTTGAATACGTAAAATACTTATATATCAATATGAATTTATCCAAATAACATACATTGATTAATAATTTTAAGAAAAGTGCTTAATATTAAGAAATGAGATGGAATAACAAAAATACCCAGCAATGAAGCATGAAAATATCTATGGAATAATATTAATATTGTAATACTGCTGAATAGCTAATATTGCTAATGACTATCACATCTTTCTATACAGAAATATGGGCATTTGACACCGTGATTATGCTGGCTTTAGGTCGTATAGAAACTCTGAAACGTTGGAGCCAAAAAATAATGATGGATTCCCAGATCTCGAAATGAGTGGCCAAATACCGAGATATTTACTATTTATTTTGCGACCTTAAGCTGTTATTTGGTTATTATGGTGATTCAAGCAGCTTAACTCTATTTGCCTTTATGTCTGACACAGCTTAACCATTACAATTTTCACTTCTTGCAATAAAAAAGTTGGAGAAAAACATACACAGATTTATCATAAAAGAGATCACGTATCTGATTCACATATTAGAAGGAAAAGATCCGAAGAGCATTCGTCGCCCGTTCAGGCAAAAGAGCTATAAACCCTGTCTGGTCAGCGATGAAAAATAATGCAAAACAGACAGACATAAAACAACTACCTATTATAACACAGGGTTTTAAAATTAATAGAAATTTCTCTTTCCTTCCGTTTGTTCTCAGTACTTGGAACTGCCTGCCTGCTGCATACCAAGAGAATAACATGATTTCGTGGAAAACACAACACTTTGGTGGGCCTAGAGCATGTCATAAGTTTTGGATACTGAAAAGTTGCGACAGGAGATCGAACATAAAGCTAAAAACAGAGTCAGCATTATGGCACAAAAACAGCAATGTGTGCATTGTGCCAGAGGGGAAATGTAACTGGCAGTTTGAGACAATTAACCTAGAATGAATAATGCAACTTGCTCTGAATATATAAAAATGAACTATCATACATCATTAAATGATTGACAACTCATAAATCAAAAGAAGATGAAACTAAAGGCAGCGTTTGGCATTACAAATTGGCGACAAAAAATTCAGTTTTCCACCCCTCTTTGAAAACCTGCTTCATAAGGGGGTACCAAACAAAAAAACGAAAAAATGAAACACTATCTTGCTATAGAAAGGAAACAATTTTGATAATGTTGATTAATCTTGAACGCCTAGATTAATCTAGATCGACAGCAATAAGCGAATAGCTTTATAGCTATGAAAAGGTTTAATAATCGTGAGCATCTAGATTAATATAGCTTCCCCTTCGATAATGGTCTACCAACAAAGACCCGAGCTGCCCTAGTTTCCCTCTAATCTAAATTTCATCTTTAATTTAACAAAAATTTGAAAACGTATTTCAAAAATTTACAGAATTTATGCTAAATTTCAAGGGATTCGCGAAAAGTTGTTGCAGATAATCAAAAAAGTGCTTTGGCACCCGACTGTTCAAAAAGAGTCCAAGCCTCGTTTAGTTCTACGAAAATTGCTCTTGCCAGGTGCTCCTCCGGGGTGCCCGTAAGCTGTAATAGAGAAGCACGGTTTTCAAATGTTTTTCAACGGAAAACGTACATTAGGAAAACATTAGGAACAACAACAGCAGAAACAGCAGCAAAAACAACAAAATCAACAAAAAAACAAAAACAGCAATGGAACAACTAAATGAAATCCCCCCGCTATTTTGCTGCGACAGGAAGGCAAAACATTGGAAAGGCAAAACATTGAACATGCAAAACTTTGAAATGGAAAAACAACAAAAAAGACAAGACATTAAGAGAGACAAAACTTTGCAGAGAAAGAACACCGAAAATGCAAAAATTTGATAGGCAAAACATCGAATAAACAAAACATCGAATAGACAAAACATCGAAAAGGCAAAAATTTGATAGGCAAAACATCGAATAAACAAAACATCGAAAAGGCAAAACTTTTGTAGATAGCAATGCAAGTTAAATGAGAGGCCGCTTAATAGGTCATCGGAGCTTTCTACATTACGTTGTTTGGTCGTTAAGGTGCACTGCGTTCATACGAGGCAAAGAATTTCATACCAGTAGAAAAGCTTCAAAAATATGGCTTGATCTTATTTTGATTCTTAAAAAAGTACTGATTGAAGAGTGACTGATAGTTGAAATTAAATCTTTTCGACAAACCTTGTCGGGATGGACTGACAAACATGCTTTCCTGTAAAATTTCTTTACCTAAAAGCAAATCCATCATATTTTTTACCAAAACTCTTATCTTTAGAACCGATTTACAGAGCTAAAGGCTACACGAAGCTCTAAGCTCAGAGCAACTACCAGGTAACGAAGCATTGCAATTTATATAACGCAGAGGAATTCCAGATTGAATCTCCGCATAGACGAAAACAGTTGTTATTTATCAACTTTAAGTAACCATTGGAGATATTATGGTTCACCATTTCACTAGTTGGAAGGATGTCTTGCCCTAAATGGCAAAATCGCACAATCGTACACAAGTCAATATTTGATTGTAACAACATCTTTATATCAGCTTACTAATCTTCTTTTGAAAACATACGTAGCATGGCTACAATATTCCCCCTTGCCAATACAACAGTTTTGAACTTCGAAAAAAACAGTAAACCCTGGGCTTCTAAAGAACGACTTAGCCTACACAGAGACATAATCAACATGTCCTTTGTCAACAAACTTACGTCGCTCGGCTGCAGTAACTGATGCATTCCTATTTGCTTCCATTTTGTTTCACCTTCCCACAGAACAGTGTCTAAAGAGCAAAGCAATGCTCGAATGTTGCGCTCTTTGCCGTCAGCCCATTCCCGGACCTGTAAGGAAGACATTATAATGCCTTGTCATTCGTTTGACACTTTGAAGACATTTCAATACACAAAGTATCGTAAAATCAACCGACCTCTTTGAAGGCACTTTGTCTCGACGCATGTAGATGGCCATTTAAATCCTTTTGCTTGGTCTATACAATAGACACAATGTAAGGTATCCAATCGGCAACTTAAGACTGATTCTCAACCGTAAACCCAACGTAGAGCCAACTGTTAGCTCTAAACCGTCGTCTGACGGGTCAATATGCTTTAAATAGCAACGCATTCATATTCACTTATGCAAAGATAAATGATCCACAGCTGTACGAAAGATTCGTTTTCAAGGGTCAGTTATACATGACTGAAAACAGCTATTATCTTTTTTTAATATAGAAAAATATGAAAATCATAACTATTTTAAAACAATAATGAAACTCAAAGAATATTGCTGATGTTAAGGGTGCTGAAGTTAAGGGTGCTGGCGGCGTAGGAGGAATATCGAATTCTAAAAGGGAAGTATAACTTAACACAAACAATACAAATTTGGTTTTCATCAAAGACAGAAATCTATAAAGGAGGGAATTTTCTAAATATTTTTACGCGGAAAAAAATCCATTGCACTAACGGAAAAATTTCCACTTTCCTAATCAGGAATTTTGGAGAAATTTTTAGGAGCAAAACTTTAGAAAGAGAGCGATGAAATTATTGTTTTTAAAACTAATCAGAAAAAGAAAAGGCAAAATTCAATTTGGCCTCACCTTAGCTTTAACAGGGTCATCCTCCTTCACAACAACTTGCTTTTTCAATTGCTTTAGAGTTTCCTTCTGTGCCTCGCTGGAAGGCTTGAACCCATGAGCGCCTAAAATATCACTAAATTCATTCTTTGAAGGCGGTCTTTGTCCTAAAAAAAACAGGAAAGAACCGGTGCAGGGAAAGCTTAACAAATTTTTCAATAAAACAACAAACTTTGTCGTTGATGCCTGATGGTCTGGTGACAAACATTGAGAAGGCAAACATTTGATAGGCAAAACATCGAAAAGGCAAAACTTTTAAAAAGCAAAACATTAAAATGGAGAAAATACGAAAAGGCAAAACATTACAAATGCTAAAGAACGAAAAGACAATAAATTTGAAAATTATATGGTTAGCTAATTTGAAGATTTCATGGTTAACTTACCCCAGCCACCCCCAAGGCCCCCTTTTCCACCTTGCTGATTCCCAAAAACGCTTTTCCCAGGAACAGAGCTACCAACAAAGTAATTGGGGGCGGACTGTGTTGGAGTGGGGCGCTTGGGTGCGGTCGTCTGTTGAGCTGCCTCAAACGGTTGGGCAGAAGGTTTGCGAACATCACTGAATGAGCCACTTAAGCCAAAATTTGAACCAGAGCCTTGCTGTTGATTCGATCCAAATGACTTTTTGGAATTATCATTTTTAAAGTTTCCCCCAGACAAACTGACAAAATCAGCGAAAGGGTCATCACTTTTTGTTGTTGCTTTGCCAATATTCGCACTTGAAGATACCGAACGATGCAGATTTCCATTTAAATTCATCGTCATCGATGATGGTTTCATGTAGGCTCCGTGTGGGAATGCCCCCAGTCGCCTAACAAATTCCCATCACTGCTGCTATGTTTTATGGGACTGGTACCTGGAAATGTGGACAGATGGTCAAAAGCAGCGAATGGTTCTTCCTTGGTCGTGGCCTGAAATGGGTCGATAACAGTGCTTGATCGCATGGAGAACAAATCTTCCGGCTCTTTGGTCGCAGGAGCTGCTGCATTGCCTCGGTCGTGAAACGCATGAAAAAAATCATCATCAGAATGCGTTTCCAGTAGGGAACTTACACTCTTATTTTTCTTTACTCCAGGACTTGTTGGAGAATCGTTAGTCGGTTCAGATGTATCGATGAGTGTGCCTGCCCAACCAGATGAAGGCAGGTTTGGTGTGCTTGGGCTTCTGGGCACATTCCTGTCAGCAGCTGAGCCAGATTCTACATTAACCAAAAGTGGAGCACTGTGTTCCTTGACAAGGTGTTGGCTTTGGAGATCTTTCGAAGACGGCACTTGGGTGCTGTTACTATAAATCGAGTCAAGATTTGTCTCTACGTTTAAGGCGCTAAAATCATCGTTAAAAATACTTTGTTTTGTTTCACTATTTGTCCGGTCACTTTTATCCGAGGTTGCTCTCAGATTTGCAAAATCGTCCGCAAAGGAGTCCGAAAATAAGTCAGTTGTCTTGGCATTTTGTTCAAGCTTAGCCTCTTTTTGATACGAATTATCTATTGGCTCAGAATCAAACCCGATATCAATGAGAGGAACAGAATTAACTGCTGTCGCCGTCTCGTTTCCATTTGACTTTGGTGCCAGGAACTCGGCATCGCGACCAAGAGTTTCCCTGTCATCTGACTCCAGCGAAGATGAGCCACTGTTTGAAGCAGGTGTTGTATTGGACATTCTTCCATTTTGAGGACCTTGCCCAGATGGATCAGAACCACCCCACTCCAAGTTGTCAAAGAAAGTTGATCGTCCAAATTTCTTCTCGGTATCCGAATCAGTGTTTGCCTTCCCAAGATGCAACTCTTCCTTTTCAACCTCTGATAATTCTTCACTCAGACCTGGGAATAATTGCAAGGTAGATAAAAATCAAAAAGATAAAAACAAGTTTGTCATATCAAATAAAGAATATCAGCACGCTATGTAGGGTGTTATTTCAGAAATCAATTGAGGAAAATCCAGTTCTTACTAAAAGAAATGATGTAATACAACCAATTCTACAGTTCTACAGAAATAATGTAATACAAACCTATTGAATTCAGATGGACAAAGTAGCTACTTGGTAAATAAAGTAAAAATAAGTCAACATAAAACAACATTGGTAACTGTTGAAGGGTCTGTTGTATACAGTTCAGTGCACGTTTTGGCCAGTGCAAGAAACTCGGGTTTGCGACTTAGAGGCGTCTTAGAGGCGTCTTAAAGGCGTCTTGTTCTACACACCGAAGCGCACTCATAAAATAACATCATTTTTGGATCTAGTTTCTTGAGTAACCAATTTCATCCATACACAATGTTATTTATACGGTACTTCATTTAAAAGTGCATGGACTGATATCACAGAATTTTCTTAATCACAAAGGCCCTGCTTCGTTGCACCAGGACCGAAAATGTCAGCCATAAGTGTCAGAAGTTTTGTTTCTTTTGAAAATTGACTGGTAATGAACTAAACCCAGTCAAATCACATCCTGAGACTTTATAGGAACAAGTTTTTTCCAAAACAACGATGCGTGTCTCAAATTCTATGGACTGAAATTGCTTTAAAAAAAAGGTTTTTCAAAATCAATACGAGTTTGCTAGGGAAAAAACAGGAAGGGCGAATAGCGACATGAAGTGATTAACGCATCGAGGAGAAAGTAAACAATACAGACAAGTACATAGCCTGAGCTGTTGAATGAGATTAAAATAAGAAGAAAAAGATAACAGGCTTAAGCAGAATCAGCACATACTCAAACCTTGATTGATACAAACAAGAGAGAAAAAACATACCGAATTCTTCCCTGCACTCCCAATACTCCTCTTTGCTGGCAAAACATGGCTGTGGGGACAGTTTATCAAGAGACAGCTTATCCCATGGTTCGGTGTAGTTCTGTAGAGAGGGTGATTCGGCGCCCAGCACGACATCTAATGCAACAGCGAAAGTAGAGGGGTATTTCTGGTCATCTGGATCAATCAAGTCCAACTCATTCCTGGAAAACAAACAGGTCAGAATCGGGGGCGGATTCTTGGTGAAATATCGAGGGGAGGGACAAGCCTATTATTATTATAAGATGATGTGACATTTTCCCATCGTTTTAGAACAAAAGACCATTGCCCTCTAAACTAATAGGGGTGGAAACCCGTAACCGCCCCCTCGCCCCCAGGCATCCCCTGGTCACAATGTCGAATTTCTTTTCGGGGGCTAGAACTGCAAGCGGTATTAGTTGCTATAAGTCTTCAAACTGGAAATGCAGCTCAGATGTTATGTAGCTCGGGTGTGGTTGGGATATCAAAAAACGTAGAATTAACAGATTCCAAATTTGACCATTTTTAATGTCTCTGGGTTAAAAAAGAGTGTCATTTACTGCGATACAAACTATTAATAACTTGAAAAAGGCCCAAAATGTTAAGTTGCCAAAATATTGTTATCATTGCAAACAGCCAAACCCCAAATATTTGATTTTCTACTAAAATACAGGACAAATAGAAATAAGAAAAATACAGACCTTTGTACGGGTGACAGATATTTGGCATAAATGAGTTCTCTTTTCTAAAACCTAATTGTATTTAGGCCATTGCCGCTGCTGTACACTTCATTCATCAATCATAAAATTCATATTTCCACGTAAACATTAGAAGTCTAATAAACCAAAAGTTATCTTGTCCTGACCAATGTTTATAAACGCTAAACTTGTTCACCATTGAAGTCGGAAACACTTCAAAGTTGGACAGGCAAAAAGAACTATAACTTAGACAAAGGAGCACGTTCAAAAGATCTAATGGGGACATTTCTAAGAAAAGTGGCATTCTCCTAAATGATGGATGCACCTGCCTCGGGTACACCTCAGGTCCGGAGCTTTCCACTAAAAAAGCTATCAGTAGAAAAGGCTAACTAATGGCTGCGTGTAAATGTTCAGCTGCATGATCAAGATTCGTAAACTTTCAGCGTTTTGTTAATGAAAATCGTTGGCTATTAATTAGGAGGCTTTGATATTCAGCCTATAGATAACGAGAATCAGGCATCAGACTGAAAATATTAATGATGGTTGGCTGGCAATTTTTGCTTTTTCTATTCAGGATCATCGTCTGTTTTGAAAAACATGCTAAATTTAGTGGGTGATTCAAGCAAATTTTAGTTCTAAATCTCTAAGTGATGATGGTTTTCATCGTAGTGTGAGACAAAACAGGAAAACCAAAATCGAAACGAGGAAACAAATATTCCTGGACCTGGGACATTTATTCAAAGGGGTTGGCTAGTGCAATCAATTCAGGAGAGCAGCATTAATGTTCCATTGTGCCTGGTTTCCTTGAGAAAGCTGTAGAAAGCGTTTTAAAGTCTTGCTATCCCAACCGGTCTGTGAGCTAAACATTTCATAATCAGAAAAATAGGCTGCGGAGGTCAAAGTAGAAATTGAGATTTCATTACATTTTAACCGTAGGGAACCACCTCTTACCGTGAAAACTCGATAGTCGTACTTCCTTCCTCGATAAACCCGGTGTGAAACTGAAGGTTCACTATATTAAATGAAGTGAATTTGCCTTGAACCTTCCCGCCTAACGTGGATCGTGCGTGGAATATTGCAACTGTGACGTCACCATGCAATTTTGTGTTCACATGGAAATCAATCCTTCGATCAGACAGAGTGTATTCCCTGAAATGGGACAACAACGATTAAGGACATGTTCATCGTTATCAATAATTTACTTTTACACTTTCAAGAAAATTTAGATTACGACAAAACAGGAAACAATCATTATAGCGCGTATGATGGGCTGAAACATCGATGCATTTAGCCATTCGACTGATCCATCAATTAAACAAGAAAACATGAGTTGGGACATCAAGAGTGGTGCTCAATTCGTTATCTAAACAATTTTTGCCCTAAAAGAGACTTGAATGCATATGGTGTTTGGACGTCATTCCAAACAATTCCACCAATTAAATTTACTGTGTATACAAGATTAAAAGGCTGTGCATGTTCGTTAAGTAAAACAATAAGTAACTATCAAATATTGTTGTCCTTAAGTCGAAGGATCACAAGTACAAAGCAAAGCGGAGGCAGAACGGAACCTTTCACATCCAAAAAGAACTTGATGGCTTGTTGATTCATGCACTGATCTAATTGTGAACGAAAAATTACCGCCAAGCAACACCTCACAAAGCAACAGAAGAAAACCAAGGCACAACTCGAGACCATTAAGAAAATCGTTTATAATTGCATTTTCGACGATTCTTTAACGGAAAATATAAATATTGAAAATCTGAGTGATGCTGCTTCCAAACTTATATAAAGTACAGGAGACATCTATTTCAGCACAAGCTGGAACCATTAGGCAATGTTTGTGTATGATAAGAACTGAGCTAAGGTCGTACCTCATTTGCTCGATATCCGATGAAGTCGACAAGATTCTCCGCTCCCCTTGATAAACTTCTATAAACGGCCGGCAACCAGTTCTGAAATAAGTAGTAGCATTTTTAAAACACTCAAAACAACTTAATAAACTGGTCATAACCAGACCAGAGTGCCATAAATGGCATCAGTATTTTGATCAACAAATTTTCCTTAAATAAATACTGCAAAAATTACTCTGTCTAGAGTAAACATACGTTGCAATGATAAGACGCCTGTTTTATCACTCATTCGTAAAAACGTCATGGAATGGCACCTTACGTTATTGTTTGGACCAATACGTACTTTTTATTAGCAATGGTTCAGCATGCTGAATCAGCTTATCATAACAAATTAGGCACGCGGTTCTTATACACTCGGTCTGTGAAAATTCATAGACCGAATTTCTTGTCCATAATCCAAATCTGAAGTCAAAATTTATTCCAAAGAAGCTTAGAATTACTTTCAAAACGAGACTGAAACAAGAACTTGTGTATTGCGACTCCTTCATTTCAAATCACTAGCAAACATCCCTTAAGTGCACGTTCCTCAAAAAGGGTCACATTTTACATTGACGATTTGCAAAACGGGCAAAAAAAACGTGGGGCATAAATGTTTTTAATAATCAGCTAATGCTTCTTGTTATTTTCTGCAGAATGTATTCAAAATTAGGTTTACCTGGCTTTATTGAACATAGGAACAGGGCTCAATGTAACGGTTTTTAGAAACAATGGTCTTTTGTGGGGAACAAACTGCGGCTCCCAAACAAGACGATTGACGTAATTCAGGTACCTGTTGGTATCAGGAAGAAAAATTCACTCAGGAGAATCTTTAAAGACGATTATAATAAGTGATTGATTGAGTTTGGAATGAAACCTGGGAAACCATGTGAGTTATTCAATCTGAAATATCCATGGTAGTTATTATTGCATGTAAAATCCGTCTAAAATATTACAGATTTATGTTTGATATAGTCAATAACATCAAGGACAGGACGGAGAATATCCATCCATGAGACTGAATCTTGAAATGCAGCAAGGCTGAAAGAAATCGGCCTAGATTCTTTTTTTAATCTCTTTCAAAACATGACAGGGCTTGCCATAAAAAGTATTATCAAAATAATTAGATTAATTTAAAGATTATAGACGAAAAACAATGACTCTGAAGATAAAATTGTCAAGCATAGAAATCTTGAAGAATACAATAAAATAACCAAAGGACATGAATTCGGTTTCAGGTGTTGACACAACATTGAAACAATTACAATTATTGAAATTCGTCGATTAGTTTTCTTCAACACGTTGAGAAAATACGTGTTTATTACAAAAAAAGTGAGTTCGATTAAATACTTGCCGACACTATGTTTCTCAGAAAACACATCCTGAGATTCTAGTGTCTGCAGTTTACAAACTGCCTGATGACTGATGAATTCAATACGTATAAACAATATACTCAAAAGATAACAGATTCAGAAAGACAACCTTTTTTGTGAAGGAATCAGATCGATTCTTTGACCAGGTTGGCACCTCCGCAGGGAAAACATATCAAGCGCCATCGACGGCTTTTTAAACAGTTTGCAGAAAACCAACAAAGTTGCCACTAGCAACGCTGACGACACTCGGCCATCCTAAAACAACGATAGCACATTGAACACATTCCAATAAAAGTGAAACAAGTCTGTAAATTTGTGTATATCTTGCTCATGGCCTACGGATTTTCCCTTTCAATCAACAATTAGATATTCAATGAAACCAACTATTTACATTATATGTAACACACGAGACGATTCAGTCTATTTGTGCGATACCATAATCAATTATCTTGACTGGTTAATATTTTTACTATTATCAAAATTGGTAATTTCCTTAATATAGCCGTTATTACGATATTAAGCGTGTTGAAATAACGGACGAACATACCAAACAGTGAACAGCGACAATATTGTTTTGGTCTTGTTTCAGGAAATTATAAACTTTCCTGCAAAGTGAAACGAGTTGGCTAAGGGAAGGAGCTTTTCTAGGATTCCAGCCACTCTCGAAGACCTAAAAATAAAATTAACATTAAAAAAGAAAATTTTTGGTAATAACTTAAGCAAATAACATTCGAAACATCCTCTATTAAACACCTACGGTGTTAACAAAATAGACGTCAGGGGAGGTGTGAAGGAAATGAGAGGCTAGAGGGGTTTAAATGAGGTAGCTCGTTAATAAATTGTTTGGATAATAAGAGAGTTTACTTCTGGTATCAAGAAGGGTGTTTTGATAAAAGTCCAGCGTACCAAAGAAACATTAGGAAGGAAGAAAACAGGTTGAAGATATCGTTGAATATCGTTGACTTCGTTCTTTCTTGTGTAGAAATGTGAAAAGATGAATCCTATATGATCCAACTGACGTTACTTCAAAACCCAGAGGCGGTTAAAAGGGGGCTTTATAAGAATTGGCTTTAGGCTCACTCAGGCAGAAAAATAGAGATGGGAAGACAACCATGAGAAAAAAATTGCATTATAAGAAATGTTAATGCAACTCACCCGGTCATTCAGCTTACTGACATTGTACTGCCGCTGTGAAATATTGATGACAACATAATGATCAGGGTATTTGGAATCCAATAATATCCTGACGTCATCAATCGAATTTTTGTAAGTTGATTCTATGCCTTCAGCGGGGAAGGACATCACTAGATAGACAGAAAAAAGCTATAATAGATAAATACAAAAGGCGAATGATATTAACAAGTACTGGTATCTAAGAAGGATACGGGTATTGACTATTATTGATTGATACAAAGCGAAACTGATATTGTCAAGTACTGAGTGCTAAGAAGCATACGGGTATTAGCAATTATCGATAAATACAAAAGGCAACCGATATCGCCTAGTGCTGATGGCTAGGAAGGGTACGGGTATTGATTAGTGTTGACTGATGCAAAAGACAACCGATATTACCTAGTACTGGTAGCTAAGCACGGTACGGGTATCAACTAGCGTTGATTAATGCAAAAGGCATCTGAATATGCCTAGTATGTCGATCAATATTATTGAAAAAAAACAAGTCAATTTTGTCTTTATAGACATAGGGAACCATGTACTTACCGATTATCTTCTGGGTTACATATGAGATATCTAAATCATTCCTAACATATCTAGAAAGAAAGACAAAACTAGATCTATTAAAGAGCTATTAGCTTTTCATATCTTGTCAAGTTCACAAGGATTGATATCTGATATCTGATATAAGACAACATACAGCAACGTTTACATGGTCGATTCAACGGCAGTGGTATATAATAAATTCGAACAAGGGTATCTTCAGTAAGGCAATTGCTTTAAAAAAAGTTAATAAAAAAGTTAATGGGCAGCGACTTTACACGAAACTATCTGAAAGCCCACCAACAACGAAAGTATTAGAGGGAAACTGCTGGACTGATGGGTCACAAGAAAGTTTCAGGATAACCTAGAACATAAACATAGAAAAGCCATAAAGAAAGCATTTTGTGGCAAAAGAAGTTAATGGATGGCGATTTGACACAAAGTCATCTGGAAGGCCAATACAAAAATAAACTAGGGCGAAAACCTGATGGACTGACGGCTAAAAAGGAAAGTTGCGGGCAAAACTACAAGAAAACATCAAATTCCAGGCACGTTACAAGAAATTTTAATCTACCAGCAAAAAGTTACACAAACCCGGCAACTGATTGGACAACTTTTGATGAAACATCTTTGATATTGTTAAACAAAAATCCAGCCCCTTTTACAACATTTCCAAAGATTGCACTGCCCCCAACGGTGTTGCCACTGGATACGATTGCATTGCCAACTGAAGTGCCTAGGACGAAAATTGGAAGTTGCTTATAGGCTGCAAAACAAAGATCCAGTACACTTTATAAAACCCCAATAAGTGTACACAGGCTGCCTGGCAAAGGCTATCTAATCTGGCTGGGCTTGATTCACTTATCATATTCAAATCTCTATAAACATAAAACGTTTTATGAAAAAATTAGTGTATAAACAATGTGTGCATTGAAAAAGTGTGGGCATCGAAAGCTTGGTCAATTTGTAAAAGTAAAAGGGTAAATTTGTTCCAACTTTGCCTTCTAATTTGAAAGATAAGCTCACAGAAATACATTACGTTGTGTCTACAAATAAACAAGCAGCAGAATTGTTTTCCTCTCTCGCTACTTCACCCTTTCCTTCCCTTATATTTTTCATATTACATTAAAAAGTTTACACTACATATTACATAGCACGTTACCTACAACTACTCTACTGGAAGAACTATACCACGAGGAGCAAAAGACTATGATTACCCATGGCGTTTGAAAGAAAAGTTAAAAAGAAAAATCAAAACTACACGCAATTTAACAAACTACTACTATAAAAAATGGAAACATTACTTGGCCTTAAGAGATTTGGTGGTGATGCATGCATATGGTAAGATTTTTAAAATATGTCAGTAAAACCGACCAGCTGAGCGGACCAATTCCCTTTATATCACCCTCCCTTTCAATGGTGGCCACAACAGGGCAAAGATGCATTAGTTATTCTCCTTTTAAACACAACTTAATGCTGCGCGAACAGCTTTTTGTCAACTTAAACCCAAGTACAGGGCAAGTTATTGTAAACGTTTGTAAGTGAAAGAAAGTATAAGCAGGTAAGTTTAATAAATGACACAAGAAACAATGTAGAAATAAAAAGAATTATAGGAATTGTATGGGCATTCGGCTTGTTGAAAAATTATCTTGTTGTTGAATAAATAAACTACCATGCTACCTATTACATGTAATCACGTTGAAATGGCAAACAATGATACTTATGTAAAAAGTAAGCCCTTTCTGAAAGTCTTGATCTGAATAAAAGTTGCATTGAAACTTGCATTGATCTTTCTAGTACAAAAGAAAATTATTCATGCTGATTCAAAGAGATTTTGCATAACAGATGTGAAGATGACGAAAATAGCAATCATGCTGATTGTGAGGCAATGAAAGGAGAGTTCTTTCTTTCCCGGTGTCTCGATGTTTCGTTCTTTTTCGCTACAGGACATACCGATATTCAATAAAGTTCAATCAATTTTCAGAAGATTTTTCACGAATTCTTGGACTGTATTATATTTCTGTTTATAAATTCAAGCAGTGGATCGCATTACAAAAGCTGGCATTACGTGTTTAATCATCGACACTCGAATAGAGGGCTAGCGCCATGTATACCAAATGTTGCACTAAACTCGATGTTTTACTTAAAAGGCACTAAAGACAAAATCATAGTTCCCCGTGTCCTTGGAAAAGGAAAGCACCAAAAAGTATAACAAGAATGTGCTTGGCCAATAAGACTACGATCTTGCAAAAATACAGCTGAAATGCGAGGTGTGTGGTCGTTAAATCAGACGCAAACTAATGGCGTATACAGCTCGTGAAAGGTTAGTGTAATTTCATTTTAAATATCTATCCGTAATATCACAAATACAGGTTTAATAAACGTTGCATCTTTAAGAACATTTTCATTTGACGTGGTTAGTTCTGCAGGTAAGGCCTACCACAGACTTTGAGCAGACCTTTTCCTCGTATTCTATTTTACGTGTATACATTATGCATGTCATGATGAGTGTTTTTGATAAACAGCTTATTTTCAAAAGATCAAGACTTGATTTTCAAAGGATTAAGTTACTGATAAAGATTCAAGAATAAATAAGATGCTTATCTAAAAAGCCAGTTTATCATGTTGTGCCTGCGATAAATAATTATTGTTATGAGCCTCGCATTTACGATTAAAGAGCTTCGATTAAACTTACAAAACTTACTATGGCGGTTGGGCGGGCGATTGGGCGGGCGATTGGGCGGGCGATTGGGCGGGCGATTGGGCGGGCGATTGGACGGGCAATTGGACGGGCAATTGGACGGGCAATTGGGCGGGCGATTGGGCGGGCGATTGGGCGGGCGATTGGGCGGGCGATTGAAAAGAAAACTGCTTGAAATCTTAGCAGACTTGTTAGACGTTAAAATTGTCAATAATGATGAACGATGGTTACAATTTGATTAGCTCGAGCAAACAAGGAGCAATGAAATGAACGGAAGCAATAAAAAATCCGCCATTGAAATGAAATAAATTTGTTTGCTACCTTATGTTTCTATTTTTAAAAAGTACATCGTAGTGTAGATTAGCTTTCATATGAAGAGTCGCCAAGTTTATTTGACTTTTTACAACGATCAAAATTATTATATTGATCTTTGTTTTCGCAATAAGAAAACAACAACAAAGGCGACAGGTGAAAAAAGGAAGACATAGAACCAAACAGGCTGGCGAATTAAACTCTTGCATAAAGAAGCTTGCATATTATGGCGATTTGGTGTTTTTCAAAGCATCCTGCTTTCATTAACATAAAATTTAATTCCATTAACAGCTTTATCAAAGGTGATAGTATTAAACAATGCAGCAAGAGTTGCCCAGTGGACTCGAAACTAGCGGAACCAAGAGCTCACAACAAAGAGAGCTGAGAAACAACAATCTAACGAAAGAAAACAGATAAAACCAGACGAATTTGAGATCACAGTGTTTTATTCTACCAAGCGTATGTGATTCTTTTGAGGATTACTGAAAATAAAACTATTAGAAAAAGACTTGACACAGCAGGAGCTACGGAAGAAACAATTGTGAACTACGGTAGATTGCAAGAAACGGATAACACTTCTCTTCACAAAAACTGTTTGAGTCATAGATAGATGGCCACTCTTGGAAACTGTTGTATTGCGAAGACTGGCTTAGCCATTATATGTTTGAAAAATGGTTTAACAACCAAGCAGTCAAGTTAACAGCCTTGTTTTCGCTATAGGAATACTAACAGAAATCCTCACAGCACAGTATTTCCAGAGAGATGCGATTCACTCCGTTATTTACGTCATAGCAAGTCACAGAGAGCAGCAAGCAAGACAAACCAATAAGCATTTCCAGGTTTGTTTTCTAGCTGCTTTTACAAACAATAAGATGCTTTCTAGCATTCAAACAACGAAGAGATAACCAATATTCTTCGATCACGACTAGCATTAAATCTACCATACAATAAATCAATTGCAATTTACGATTGTTTTGGTATGATAAGCGTGAAATAAACACGTCACAACCAAGAGCTTCGTTGCTATGCAACGTTTCCTTAAGTTGGTAATTAGAAACAAAAATAAACTATGAACAAAGCCTTAAATGGGATCTTGCATGGCGCAATCTTTGGTCCTTTTCTACTTAAAAAATGTGAAGTCATTCTGAGAGTGGTACTGAATAGCATACTATATTGATAAGAAAATGCTTTTCAGGGTTCTCAGGGACAAAAAACTTTAAAGCGAAATTTGAAAAGAAATCAATTCTAATAAAAAGATGCACGGAGTATCGGATGAGTTGACTGTGACGGCTCTATTGCGATGCACCTTAGGCGATTCTCGACAGGAGAGGGTACACATAAGACAATAAATTGTTGAAACTATTTTAAACAGAACAGTCTCGACAAATGAAAGTTATCGGGAGAAAGAGAAAGCTAGGCTGGAGTCGATAAGTATATATGCTTTGAGAAATGTTTCCATTCTTCTTAAAAAAGGATCTTTGTTTAAAAATGGGCTAGGTTACAATTTTCATGACAAAAAATATCTTCTGCAGCATTAATTATAGTCTCAAATCAAGAGATGTTAGCACTTTCTACAAATCAGCCTAAAATAATCATAAATCTTCTTGGCATGCAAAATTCGAATGAGTTGAATCAATATGTTTTTGACAAAATTAGTAGAAAGCGGAGGAGGGGGGCCAATAACCACGTCATTGTTGGCCACAAACACACTATTAGCGGCTGTAGAGACCTTTTCCTTTTCTCTTATGCAACAAAAATAAATTTCAGTGCTCTCTCTATGTTGATTCTAAAGGTATTTCTCGATGTTGATTCTTTAAGCCTTGAACTTGAAATAGAAACTGAGCTTTTGATCAGATTAGAGTCTTCAAATGTGACGTCAAAACATCAATTCCTAAAATTGTGGCTTTCGACCAAATAACTTAAAAGAGCAAGATAATATATTTACAAATACGAAAAATCCATACCTTTAAATGTGCCATTTATAGCAAACGAAAGGTCTCAATTTTGCTAACGAATTATTGTTATTTTAGCTGGGCTCTATAAGTTTAAAACCAAGACCAAATCACAATAATTTGGTTGAGAAAACACCTGTGCTCGGGTGGCAAATTCTAAGCCATCTTGTGGCACATTTGAGATAATTCAACATTTAGAGGCAATTCATAATGCCCTTTCAAGTTATGCGGTCCAAATTCAAGTATTCCTAAAAAAGAATTTTGTGATGCCATCACTTAGGCATTAGAATAGATAGCCACACTAATGCCAGTTAACTTTACAATTCTGAAACAATTAAAACGACCATTTAGAGTACGAGTCAAATTAAAATCATTAAAAACAATAAAATGAAATTGTTGCCCACTTTCTTTATAAGCAAAGTGCAAAAAGCTCAAAAGGTTTTTCAGACCAGACCAGACGTCCTTCGAACTTAAACATTTGCATGCACGGCTTTAAACTAAGATGCTGGTCAATCTTCTTACAGATTTTGTTTAAAACTCGTAGAAGTGAATTTAAGAAAAACTGCTCTCTTTTACAGGACCCGCCTGCAACAAATACTACAAGTAAAGGAGAAAATAGCTGGTGAAGAATCCCACCATCAAATCTCGAACATATAACAGCCAGGAAGCGTTAAACTGACATGCATGGAAATTTAAATCGCACAGATATTCTATGGCATACAAAGCCATTCACTAGCACAGCCTTGATTGGATTAAACTAACTGATCACTTGTCTTATCTCTACACGCAATTTAAGAGATTGCAAAAATCAGGGCTAATTAAAAACTTGAAATAATCGAACAAACGGAAAGCATCTGGTTTATGTAAGATAACCTCACGCAAAAGCTGATAAAGCAAAGGTTGATGATCAGCAAGAAGAACGCTCGCATTTCAGTTCGGTACAGGCGGGATCAGTTCTGAATTAGCGAGGCGAAGGCAGGAAAGTGGATTCAGCCGAAGCTTGATGTTTGACATCTCTCTCTTCCAAACGCTCAGGAGTCACTGACCGAGCATACCGTGCGCTGCTGCTTCAACTGAAATTGTCGCTAAAATTATTGGCGAATGCATTCAGAAACACGTCAAAGCTAAAGGTCCAAGGGAAGCTATATAGCTGCTTGACCTTTGCGGGCAGTTTGTCTTCATCCTTAAAGGTATTTTGTGCTACGTTGATGACTTCATTGCTAGAGTAATCTGATGACTTACGTAATGCCGAACCTGGTTTCAAAAGGTCTAGTCGAAAGCTTGAGCTACCATAACAAAATCACGTTCAAGATGACTTATAAAAACATTATATGTGGATGAAATTAGTGAGTATTGTGAAAGCGAATTGTAACCGAAGCAATTTTTTACTGATGTTTTCTGCCACGTTGAATGAAAGGTTTGCAAAAAGCCAGAAAAGACGGCTGGATATGATATTTGCCAAAAACACCCACGAATAACAGTTGCAGAAACAGCGTTCTTTACATACGGGTGGCAGAAATAAACAATGGCAAGTTGAGAAGCAATGGATCTGGTCTGGCAACAACCAGTAAATGATAACCAGGCATGCTTAGCAAGTTTATTTACAACAATTAAACTTTTCATATGGTAGACACTAAAATGGTGCAAACAAAGGAATCAAATAATAGCCATATATAATTGAAATTACACTTTATATGATCAACTAATTTACAAGTACAAAAATAGAGCACCTGTTACATATTAACAATATTCTCAAGGTTCGCGGAATCAGAGCTCGAGAACACTAGAAGGTTGCCAATTTGAAACAAAAAGCGTTAAGATCTGCGAAGAAATTGTTTTGACAGGAGAGGGCACAAAGCACTGACAAAGGAATCCTGCTTTGAGAGAATGTAAAAACAAGAATTGTTGCACTTGACAAGGCATATTAAGACGATTAAAACATGCTTGGTGTTGAAGGCATCTGTTTTCAAGCAGAGCAGGCTTGGAGGGTTTACTTTTCTCAAATATTGGTACGATAGTGAATAAAATTTCGCGTTCAAAGAGCCATATTTGTGACACAAAAGAAATATAGTTATGATTGATTGTGGCAAAGATTGCTTCTTTATAAGCATGGAATGTCAGGGACTAGTTTCGTTCTTGTTGAACCTTGTTATATTTGCGACTTTCATTCGGTTCAGGCGTGCCTTGTTGACTTCAGCTGACTACAAACTGTTCTGCTCAATGACATTTGCTGATATGTTAGTTGGCTTCCATGCTGTCCTTTATGGTGAGCTCCTGCGAACCGGTCAACAGCAGATTATTTACAAAACGTCCGCCATCTTGCCAATGTTTACAAGCATGTTTGCATCTATAACCTCGCTTATATGCATTACAGTCAACAGATTGATAGCCGTTAAAAAACCTTTGCGATATCGCGCAATCGTTACGTCAGAGAAGTTACTTGCAGCGTTTGTCCTGATCTGGACTGTTCCAGGAGTAGTATATGCGATCCAACTGTCCATATATTTGAAGTCATCAAGTAAGGCGGAGCTTCAAATTCGCTCATACCTCACTGCAGTTTTCTTCATCACTAGCTCCCTGTTGCTTATCGTATCTAACGCTCTGATGTACTGTGCAGTGAAGCGGCAAATAAAACTGATAGCTGCCCAGACTTGCATCAGTCATCATTTGAAAGTCGTGTCACGCGTTGCTGCTGGAAAATCAGTAACGAGTGTCAAAGACCGGTATGAAAGCTCTGTTGATAACAACAATGAAGGGTATTTTGCAGAGGAAAATGATGAGAGAAAGACTACTAAAGAGGCGAGAAATGATTGGAACAAGCAAAACAGTGTAACAATATTAGGAGAGAATAATAGCAAGCTAGGGCTCGCAACAATAGATGGAATTAGGCGTGCAAAAGCACAAAATGGGGAGCAGAGTATTGAGAACTCTTCGATGAGAAAAAAAATACTTAAATTTTCTGATATATACGAAAGTGATAGAACAATGGTGTCATCAATTGTAGACGTTGAAGAATTTCGTAGCAACGAAGAACACGAGGACGATCCAAATTTAACAAAAAATGATCAACTTTCCTTCTCTAAATGGACCTGTAGTGTTGAAAAGACATTTAGTAACGATAGCAACAGGAATGAACAACTAGCTTGTCCAACGAATAAAGAAATAGTGCCTCCAATTGAGCGTTGTATATTGATGGATAACAGTCTGGCAGCCTCACCTTCGGTGGAACAACGAGACCAAACGCATACACGAAACGAGAACGAAGTCGGTGAGTACAAAGATACTGATAAGAACACAGGGAAGTCAGGCAGATGTGCAGAAGTCATGAGAGAGCATGTCAAAGAAAATCGCAGGAGACATAATAAAATCGGAATGGCTAGAAACTTAGCCATGGCGTTCAACCGCGTGCGAATCCGTCGACGAAACAACCCTCAAACAGGGCGGCAAACCTTGGATATGACACATATGTGCATACTTGTAGTGCTAGCATTTATATTTTGCTGGCTACCACTCACCGTATACAGATGCAGATATCTGCTGGGGATGGAGCCAATTGTCTGGTTACGTAGATTTGCCTTGTTTCTGGCTACAGGTAACAGCATAGTCAATCCATGCATTTACCTTTTAAAGCAAAAACACTTGAGAAAGTACGTGAAGAGGCTGCTGTGGCAGAAAAAAAGACTGCTGGTGTCAGATCGAACAAATTAGGTGTGGTCGAAACAAAATGGCACTGCTATTTGAAAAATTCATGACGCACAATTTTGTAAGCACCGTGATCCGTCACTTGATTGCATACTAATGAATGTGATTAAAATTTTGTGACTGCCAGGGTTGAAAGTCAATAATATGTGTACAACTCTTGCAAAATTGAAGGTTACGTACAATCCCTTCAGCCCAGCTTCATTCAATTGTCTCTCTTTTGAGAACAAATTGATGACTACCCTCTCTGCTCTGTCACCCTATTAGAATCCTCTCAAAAGAAGGCGAATAGTAATTGGCAGATGTAGATGTAGAAATAGTTTCATAGCTATATATAAATAAGTTACCTTTAACCTATAGCACTTTGGCAAGGAGTCAATAGAAAGTAAAATGACATCCAAGATAAAAATTACGAATCCCTTTTAAAGACCACCCGATAAAATCAACATCATCATCAAATAAAATAAAAATAAGAAAGGGTACAAAAAGATGAGGCAATTTAGTTGCATTTTGACTAAGAGGTTATTTAGTTCCATTATGACTGGAATTCCTTTCTGAATTTGATTGGAGAACTTTCTTAGTCAAATCGTGTTTATTTGATGAATATTTCCAAATTTCGAAAATGTGAACATGGCAGAGCAAAAGGAGAATAACTTCTTGCAACCTCTCAAAACCAATCAAACAATTGAAGAGTCATTAATAAAACATTCTGTCAAAGCTGCTTAAAGACAAAGTTGCATCAGCTTAGGCGATGTTGGACGAAATATTGGCCAATCAGATATTCGCTAGAAAGGTATACTAGCTAAGCCACAACTCGCTTTTATAACGGCAAATAGCGTTGAGCTAATTATTAGATTGACGAGTGGTAATTTTGTTAAGAAACTTTGAAAAATTTGATAGTATCCAGTGATCAGTCGAGAACCTGGAAACTCACATTCTGTATAATTGAGGGCGGCTTATAAGCAAAGGCGGTTTATAATCGAATAAATATGGTTAATCATAAAAGTTTGGGGCACGTGCAACCTTTGTATAAACCAATGTTTATGAATAAAAGTCAACTTTCTGCAGCATATTCAATGTTAAAATCAACATAGAATGATTTGTGGAATACATAATGCTTGGAAATCATTGCTTAAAGGTCGCCATTCGCCTCATCGACATAAAACAAAGCTAGATTAAAGGTCATTGACTATTTATAAACCAATTGCTGTTTCTCATGGGCGTTGGCTTGACAAATTGCACTTTTTTGTTGAACAAGCTGTACTTGAATTTACATTTGCTAGCAATCAGACAACTTTTATATGGTAGTAAAGATTGAAGCAGTCGGCCAATGTGCTTCTTATCCAATTATCTCAAAGATGTACCTTAGAGGTTCAGAATCATTGAAGCAATCGGGAAAAACAATAAAGTTTCGTGATGTTTCTAATATTATGGAACATTGATTATTTTCTTTTTTCTATACGGCGTGGAGAATAAAGGTGGATTGCCATTTAGGGTCAAGCTCCCTAACGAGGTGGAAATTGCACAGGCCATTCATCAATTCAAATTCCTCTGTTTCCATTGGAAAGGCTAACTGAACATCACCGTACGATGTTGTAATTACATGGGCCGTTCCTCCTTTATAAATGGCTTTCTGAATGCAACAGGACTAAAGGAAATCACTACTTTTACTAGAATTACTGTAAAATCAGCTGATCAATAAAACATCATTTGCAGCAGAAAGCATAACAAACACAATTAATCCGCAGCCTAAATTCAAGGGAACGATTTGTTCGACGTTCAACTCTAACGCCCATTTACAGCGAAATGTGGAGGGACATCCGTTACTAACACTTGAATATTGAGCAAATGAAACGGTTTTGAGATCATAATAGGGATAAAGTTGAAGGGTTTGTAGACAACGAGAAGCATTTGAACGAAGTAATAGAAAAAGGCATTGCGCATGGTGATGGTGAGTTTGTTAAGTCAGATGATCCTTGGATATAATGAATAATTACAAAATGATGTTTTGCCACCCACATATTAGCAATACGTAAATGTGGTTTCTGTTGCAGCGTGATTTATTGACGCCAGAACTTGAGCTTATTTTCATATTGCAAGCAGGACTTCAGATCTTCGATGGAGCACTAGCCCGCCAATGAGCCTGCTGCTTAGGTAGCCCCCTGTATTAGCTAGTTTAGACTGAAAAACGAAAAGATTTGCATGATCGGAAAAACTCACTCTCCTTCGGAATTTAGTTTCACCTTGAGAAAAGGCGCCTGGGTTTCGCAGAATCCCCGCCCTTTCCAATATTCCCGCCTCTCTAATAATCCCGCGTCCTGCCTTTGTGATAATCCCGTTTACGGGTTTATTGAGAGAAGAGGAAGATGTTGATATCGATTTTGATGATTCTTATAAAAAGTAGAACAAGAAACTAGAACGCGATAATACGTGTAAATGTTCTGTCGATCGGTATCTTTTTGGAAATTGAAATCTTTGTAATCCTGGAAAGTAGACTACTTCTTTTGTTTATTCTTGTGTTGAAAATTTAAGTCCGCTTTCTTACAATAAAATCTATATTAAGTCGCTTCACTTTTAAGAACCCTCCCTAAAAAGACGCCCTATTTGGAAGTAGGAAAAGTCGGAGGTGGGCGGACTGTGGGGGCAGCAGCAAACCCTGCTGTTTTAAATTTTTTAATACCCTGAAAAAATGAACCATGGCCAGGGCCGGCGTAACGCATTTGAAAGTGGAGGGGCCAAATATGAACGTCTTGAAAGGGCTTAGGTTAGGCCGCCACCATAGTTGGCGGCAAGAAAATTTTTAGAATTATTGTATTTTAGGGATGGCCAGAAACTTGATCTAAAATGGATTTTGACTGAAGCAAAATCCGAGGCAATATATTTGTGTAATCAATATGTACAAGTTCAACAAAAACAGAAGAACTATTAACTAAAATAAAAGCAAATTAAGCAATTTGTACACTTGGGAAATTGTTTTGTAACATCTGATTTTAAATATTTCGGGAAAAGGTGCTTTTAACAAAAAATCTGGATTTTAAAACTTTCAAACTGCACTGGTCAAAAAAAGGTTTATATAGATTTTTTAATTGTGTCGAGATTTTCTTTCCTAATAGGAATGGATTATCGATACAATCAAATTTTGAAGTTTTCTTGATGTTACTTTTTAAGAACAAATCTGCCCATTCTTTTTTTCTCACGTCCTCAAAAATTTTCTTCTCATCAGTTTCTTTCCCTTCAACATCGCTAGCGATTTCTCTCTTTTTGTAATGTTCCTAAGAAATTTGCTGTTAACAAATAGACCTTGTGAGCCAAGTTTAGGCAATAGAAAAAACGGAACACCATCAATTTGTGCTGGCACCAAGTTATTCTGGATCAGGTTTCTTGATCAGGTTCATTCATGTTACTCATTGTACAACTTAGACAATGACTGATTTCTTTGATCTTATTTCCCATTTTCAAATTTATATATGTCTTCTATGGTAAAGAAATAGCAACCAAGCTAAATCTAAAGGCATATGTAAGGGATTACTAAGCACAGCTACTTACAGAATGATATACTACATTTATTTCCACTTTTGCCTAAAATTTTCCTTTAGCTCTGCAGAAAAGTGCCCCCCCTCCCATGGCCGGCCCTGGAAATCCCTAGTCCCACCCTCTTCTATGCAGCACATACGTGAAATATCCTTTGCTCTGCTGTAAGTTTTAATAGATGCATCAAAATCTAGAACGAGAGTCTATACTGAACTTGCCGTGAAAATCGCCTAACCAGTGACCACTGCGGTGGCAGTTCATTCATTCATCACTAAAACCAAGATATTTCTCTTCACGGTCAGCAGCCCCAGTGGCGCAATGGACTAGCGCGTTGGACTTCTAATTCAAAGGTTGTGGGTTCGACTCCCATCTGGGGTGGTCGCTGCTAGAATTTTTCTTTTTGTACAACAAATTTTATTATCTGATAATTTTACATTTTTAACACATCTTTTGCAAAATATAACATACCTGCATTGCTATCGCCGCCAGTTTCTCCAACGGCCTAAAATTTGAAAAGGCAGTGAAACGTTTCGGTAGATACGCTTAAATGCTTAAAAAGCATAAAATTTTGATATAAATAATATGCAATCTCTATCATATAAACGTTCTATCTTCCCTTGGAAACAAATTAAAGGCTTTACGTCGGTTAAATCAAACATAAAAATATATATCTTTAAAGTTTAAAGTTGGATTGAAATCTTTCAAATGCATGGCCTGGCCAAAACCAGTTTTTTTTCTGAATATGATAGAAGACAGGCAGAGCCGACCAAATTTACTTTAATTTAAAAATTAGGGTTGAATTTGAAATTATACATTTGAAAAAAGAATAGATTTATTGCCTCTTTGTCGAAGTCAGTGCTGAAAGACTTGAGCAATGGTGGCAGGAATTAAGGACGAAAATCATGTGCTAACCTGGATAATCAGTTTATCAGAAAATGCTTCGAAAAAAATTATTAAATTATACGCATTTCACTTTACTGAAAGCAATTGCGAAACATTTCAAAGAAAATTAAAATTTTTCAAAAGCTACAAATCAAGGCCAAATTTCTTGCAGTTGTGTTATAGATAAAAATCATACTTTGAAAAAATATAGAACTTTGGATAACTATCAGAAATTTCAAATTTGAGAAGAAGTTAACTTGTTTAAACTATCAGGTTTTGGTAAAAAACTTGATTGAAATAAACACTGCAATTCTAGACTCTACTTTCAAAAAAAGCACTTCCTCTTGAGTTATAGAATATTGGTCAGTGCTGGGCAGTTATAAAAATTGACGAAGGGTGCTGACAATGATTTCTACAACCCAAACAGCCAGAGAATATATGCCATCAACTGTGCATGTGGTTGAGCATGTACTAGTTGGTTGCTAGCCTCTTGTTTCATTTGGGCACTTGGCAAGCTCCTTCATGAATTTTGTTTTTTGCAAGAAATTTTAAAATGAGAACTTTTTAAGCTGTATATTGGTCAGTTGGGTTTTTTAGGAATTACTCTGTGGTTACAAAAAAACAGAACAAGAAATACAGTTCATCACTATGTTACAAAGATAAATTTAACATTTTTGTCAAACGTCACAGATTTTTTGAGGGGGGTGTTGAGGACCTTTTGCTCAATCAAGCACCTCTCCTTACAGGATCTGAGAGAACTTACCAAAACAGGTGAATTTAAATTGATTCCAAGTGATTCAGCAACTGACTCTAGTTGAAAAATGATGTCATCAACGGATGGTCTTTCCTCTGGATTGGTTTGTAACATCATATCTTAAGAAAAATGGTAATTTAGCGACATTTGTTATGAGTTAGTGTACCATTTGTTAGCAAAGAAAAGCCAGCAAAAAGTCAGTAAGACAGTAAGAAGACAATAAGGGAAAACATCACTACCAAGATTTCATATCTTGACATTTTCAATGAGCATCAATGAAGTATGGTAGACTTGTCCATATCAATGCTAAAAAGGATACTGAAAATTTTCATGGCTTTATAAGGTCTACTGAAGCACTCCAATATACAAAAAACTGTTTTCCCTTTTTACCCCCTGGACCTTCACCCCCCCCCCCCCCCCCCCCAAAAAAAATTTGAAAACATATTTGCATTTCCAAACCTATAAAACAATGCTGCTCCACTCATTCATGATGAGGACGAAGGGATTCTGAGAGTAATAACCAATTTTGATTGGTGATCATTTTATACAAACGACAATCAAAACAGAAATTTCTAAAATATTATTGAAAGTTATTGAAACTTTTTGAATTTATATAGATAAAACATCAAAATTACACTATAGTTGCATCTCAAAAAGGACCATGTTTAGACTTTGCGAAATATTTGAGCACTCATAAAAACAAGACTCACCAATAAGTGGCTGGAGATCTGAGACTTTTCTGGGGTCTTCTGGGATAGTATACTTGGCATTAAGAATTTTTAGTTTGGCAGAATCAGCAAAGGGATGCTCCATATAGCAAAGGTAATACAAAATACAGCCTAAGGCCTACAAAAAAGTAAAGCATGTTAAAATCTTAAAATGTAATAAACTTTTTGAAAAAGATAAATCATCAAATTTTTTTATAAGCAGAATGAAATATACAAATACAAATATGATTTCTTCCTTCTTTAAATCTAATACCTGTTATACTAGAACAAAAGGTCTACTTTTGTTATCAAGTACCAGCAATTTTGAAGTACACTAAGTGAGCAAAAGTATTGCACAGGTTCGACAAAGGAGTAATGGCGACCACATTGTCAACAACAAGGCGATCGATATTGAAACCACTTTTTTGAAGCCGTTAGGCATCTTTTTATAGTTAATAACCAATCAAACCAAACTTCAAACCATTGACAGCACTTTTAATTTAGAAATTGAAAAAAGTTACGTTTTAGAAAATAAATTTTTTTAACTTTTTATTGGACAGTCTCCCACCTTTGAAACCTTTGTGAGACTTGCTAAAACTTCTTCAAAAAGTTTAATAACAGGTTCTCGCGACATGATAAGTTCAGAAAACATTTGCAAGGTCGCATTTAGGTGTTAAAGTACCAATTGATGATAGATGGCCTTGTATTTGGTGGAAAGTGGCATATTTAAGCCAGTCTTTTAAGCCTACTCTTTTACAGCTACTGAAGCACTCGAGTGAACCTGTTTATCGCGGGAATCTTGGTATTTTCATTAAATGAGAGGTCAAAATGTTGTTTTATGCAATTTTCAGCATTATTTGTTCCTATTACAACATCGCAATTGGTTGGAAAAGATGGACTTTACGATTTGTGACACATTTTATTGATTGGATTTTGCTGCAACATGTCAAGAAGCGGCCGCTGCAATTAGGCCCATTGCCGCTCCAAAATTTTCCGACCAAAACATTTAGCATATTCTACAACAAAAGTGAGAAAAATGAGCAGTTCTAGACACCAAAGCATAAAGTAAGTATTCCCGAGTTAATTTTTATAGATCTTGCCAATTGGTGCAAAGATGAACCTTTTTATTGCATATTTTATACAGGTACTTCAATAACCATGGCTCAACTTTTGTGTTTTTGTAAATGTCAATATTGTTTAGAAATAGGCAAAAATCAAGAATATTCTTGCATTTCCTATTATCAGCATCAAACCTTGATAAATTTTTCAAAATATTCAAGCTAAAAAGTCATCTTATGACTTTTATGAAACTTGCTATGGCCACTTATTGTTTCGAATTTTGGTTCGCTAAAAAAATTTGCTGCAGTGCCGCCATTTCTGTTTCAGCCTGTGCAATACTTTTGCCCACTAAGTTTATAATTATCAAGGATGGGGGGGGGGCTTTCAACCCACGAAAACATGGTTATTATTATTTATAGCCATATATCTTATGTTAATATTTTTAGATGCAAATAAGGCTTAAACCTTTAAATGCAACTTAGAGCTCTCCCTGCAAAGTGAAAATTGTGACATCTGGATAAGCATGAAACTTTGAGCATGCAACTCAGAGCCACCTGTTATACAGAGCAAATTGTTATACATCTGTAAATTGAATATAAACTTTGTAGATATTGCAAATCATAGCAAACAAGATGAAAATGTTAATTACCCAAACATCAGCCTTTGTTGTAATTGGATGATTACTGTAAAGGTCTACCATTTCAGGGGCCCTGTACATTGGAGTCGTATTCTTCTGAATCTGAAATGCAAAACAAGAACATTATAAATAATAATCTCCAAAGGACAACATTATATGATTAGTTATCATGGCAGAAATTCATAACAGAAAATAAAACAAAAAAAGATCTACTGATTAGAAGCCAAATTGTAGACTTAACTTGAATTTTTTAACATAATTTAGTTTATCACGACAAAGCTTGCTTAGCTGTGAAAAGCTTTATCTAATTACTGAACTTCTTGTTTGTTATAATGCCAAAAACCATGCATGACATAAACACTTTTAAGCCAATCAGTGTGCCAGAACAGATACCAATTTACAGAGACACTGACAAATCTGTAATGACCTCATCAAAAATGCTCCATTCAATACAGGCCTGGCCGTTTGTATTTTTATAGGTGAGCTGTGAATTGCTCCCCTCATTTGCTGAGGCGAGCTAAATCAGTAACACATAGAATGTACTTTAAAGACAATCGACAGATGACTTAATAAGCCCCTTTAGTATCTGTCGGTTGCCTTAATGTAATAGCCTCAGTCAGGATTGTGCTGTTTCACTTCTTTCAATTTGTATTTGCTTTAACCGTGACTTAGGCACCCCCTTTACTTGAAGTATTTAAAAGAACAGACTCTTTCAGTTTCATGTAAAGCTAGCACAACACAAAAACAACAATTCTCTTGCAAAACCATCTTTTTGTTGTACAGAATTTGAAAATGGCTTTGAAAAAAAAATTTTTAAAACAAGCTGAAGTTATACGTCTAGCACTCTTCAGATAATAAAACGTCAAAACGTAGATGGAAAACTCTACGCTAAAATACCCAGTTTTGGATCGAAATAGGCCAATCAGAAAGCGCGAGCACATGATTGTTGAGGTTGTCCAATCAGTGCCGCTTTCTTATTGAAAATGTTACCAACGGAGTCCTAAGGTGAAAACGAACTCACTTATGTCTACACAAAAGCGGTTCGTCATGTTTATATAGTAGATAGATTCACAAACTGTTAGATGGAACGATGATCAGGCTTTGCCATTAATGCCAAACATGTCGCTGTTATAGTTTTTCATCCAATCTGGGTTTTTCAGTAGATGCTGCTGGATAGTGGAATTCCATGTTTTGGTTGTCGTTTTTGATCTGCAAGACAGAGTACCTTGTTCTCTTTGAGGGATAGTTTTGTTTCTATTGCTGGAAGGGACCTGCTGTCTTATTATATCCGCAATCTACAATTCCTACCAATTTCTTCGACTTTCCTTCCAAAAATATTCCTGTTTTCTTAAGATTGAAAGGTTCTAATCGCTACAAACGTACCTTTCGGTTAACTATCCTTTTCCAAATAGATCGAAGTTTATGTCTATCATAACAAAAACCGCCCAAAAAGCAAAAAGTTAATTGCAAAAAATGCAATGACGGGGGAAATCACTGCTACAAAAATAAACCAATTAACCCTTGTGCGTTTTCATAATTCTCTGAATAGGAAATTTTAGGGGAGCGATTCTTCCTTCATGTTCTGTTTAGGAGAGCAATTCATAGCTCGCCTCAGGTTGGGAGGGGAACGTGGAGGCGAGCGCGAGCTATCGCTCGCCTCAAACGGCCAGGCCTGTGTATGCATTCTGAAATTAGTAATATTTTAGCTGTTAATGGCACAGTACCCCATAAATACATAAATGAGCTACAATAACTTCAAAAGTGTATCTTCTAACAATTCTCCTCAAGACCACAGTATTCTATCCTTAGGTATTGCTGCAAAAAAGTATAAGAGGCGTCATATCTTTTGTACTTTCACAGTTGTAATGCTAGGCAACAGAGGCATCACTCCTTTCCATAAAATCTTTGCTTCAGTTTA